AAGTATTAAATCTAAGTTAAATTTAAAAGCAAACAATAAACCTGAACCATTTTTAGAAACAGATTTTTTTTCAGATAACAGACAAGTTTAAAGTGATTTTTCAGTCTTATTGAGAAAACTGCCATAATCTAAGGTTTGTTAGTTTAAATGAGTCAGTGACGATCAGCAGCTCCACAGCTTTCCTTCAGATTCCTTTACGGATGGACGATAAAATCCTTCTCTGGTTTTACTTATTTCCCTAATCAGAACTGGTCTGATGAGTAAAACCAGATCCGTGTGTATTTATTTGTTCCTACTGATGCAGCAAAGGATTATGGGAAAGAAAGGTAAACATATATGCATCAGTAAATAACGGTTATAGGCCTGAACCTTTGGTGCATTTCTAGATTCTTACTTGGAATTAGTAAAAAAACAAAACAAACGAGATCCGACAGAAGAACAAAGATCCTCCTTCCTGCTAAAATTAATTCCCTGAAGGAAGAGGGACGAACCTCTGATCTCTAATTATTCACTGGGTTACTGATAAACCGGAAAACTGAAGTCACCTGCGGCCATCTTGGTACTCCCCACTTTCACAGAGTCGTGCTATAAAAATTACTGTATTTACCATAATAATGTAATCAATACATGTATATTACTTGTACATCATCTATTCAGCACTTTTAGTAAATAATCAGATGTACTAAATCAGGGGTCACCAACGCGGGCACCAAGGGGCCCTCAAGGGCCACATGGGGGGCCCTCTTCGTCTTCTGAAAACAGAAGAACTCACTCAGTGGGTTAAGTTTATTTTTTTTTATTTTGTTGCTCTTCTTTTTAATCATGTATGTATTATTTCGTCATGTTAACTATTTCATCGTATTTCAGCGGTTTCAAAATGACAATATTAAAAAGAACATTAGAAATGAATAAAATAATAAAATAAGAATAAAAATGAGTTTTTATGGATGAGATTTACTGTAGGTGAACACTGATCCCTCCAGTTCATAGGTCAGTATTGGTAGCCATTCCTATGACTCGGTAGCCGTGAAGTAGCCCTCAGCCTTAAAAAGGTTGGTGACCCCTGATCTAAATACTGTAATATTCCTAATATCTGACTGTAGCATTATTACGCTCCATTAACAAACAAATCTACTGCCCCTAGTGGAGGAGTTTAAGTATCTTAGGTTTTATTCATGAATGAGGGGAAGATGGAGCGGGAGATCGATAGGCGGATTGGTGGGCTCTCCCTTAGAGAGGGGGAGGAGCTCAGTCATCCGGGGAGGACTCAGAGTAGAGCCACTGCTCCTCCACATCGAGAGGAGCCAGTTGAGGTGGCTCTAGCATCTGATTAGGATGCCTCCTGGACGTCTCCCTGGTGAGGTGTTCCAGGCACGTCCCACCGGGAGGAGGCCCAGGAGGAGACCCAGGACACGCTGGAGGGACTATGTTTCTCTGCTGGCCTGGGAACGCCTTGGGGTTCCTCCAGAGGAGCTGGACCAAGTGGCTGGAGAGAGGGACGTCTGGGCCTCCCTACTGAAGCTGCTACCCCCGCAACCCGACCCCGGATAAACGGAAGAAGATGGATGGATAACAAACTAATTTTATTGTGATGGATTTGTATAATATGTTATATCACATGATTTAGGAACTTCATAGACTTCGTACTGACTATGTAATGTGATTTCTTTTATCATACGTTACAGTAATCTACTTATGCAAACAGCACACTGGAAAAACTATCTAAAAATAAGTAAAAATGTCTTAAATGAAGTGTATTTACCCTTAATTTGAGTAGGTAAATGAGATAGTTTGCCAATGGAATGAGTATTTTTACTCTTAAAATAACATAATTAGATAAATATGCACTTGAAATAAGACGATGCAATTGTGTTTTCTTATTTTAAGTGTTAATGTTCTTGTTCTATTGGCAAAATGTCTCTTTTACCTCCTCAATCCAAGAACAAATGCACTAATTTTAAGAAAAAATTACTTATCTAGATTTAGATTTTTTCCAGTGCAAGTGTGTATCCAATTGATTAATTTATCTTTATTTTAAAAGTTCGAAAATGAGAACATCGTCATCGTTCGATGCTGTAGCGCATATATTGTCTAAATTGCGACCGGTTCAACTGGGGAGTACCAATATGGCTGCTGGTGACCTCACAGCATCCTGTACTACCAACAGCCTATCAGCAATCCAGCGAATGAATAGAGATCAGAGGTTCTGATGACCTTTGACCCCGAGTAATGGGATATTATTAGAATAAGAAGCATGAATGAAACCTTCATGATATTATTAGTTGGTTTTTTCACAGACGTCGATCTGATGAACCTGCAGAACATCAGCTGCTTTCTGTTCTGCTCACTTCTTCATTTCTCATGAAGGAAAAATTAAGGATGTTCAGAGATAAGCTCATCATTTTCTGTTCTGCTGTGTTTTCTCTGGGATGTTATGGATTTAAACTGAAGGATCGGCCGTGATTTTATTTTCAGTAAAGTTTCCACTGATTGAAGCACATCAGAAAAAAAACAAACAAAAAAAACAGAAATAACTGGAATGAAGTTGTTGTAGTCGATAATATTCAGATTTTTTTCTATAGAGATTGACGGCTCAGTATCAAATACAAGATATTAAGTCTTTTTTCTTCTATTTAACACATTTTTTTGCACTGCAAAAAATGGAAATCTAAATAAGTAATTTTTGCTCAAATTAAGTGCATTATTTCTTGAATTGAGGAGGTAAGTGAGACACTCTGCCAATGGAATAAGACAATTTACATCTAAAATAAGAAAAAAAAAACAATTGCTTTGTCTTATTTCAAGTGCATATTATCTAATTATCTTATTTTAAGAGTAAAAATACTCATTCCATTGGCAGATCATCTTATTTACCTGCTCAAATTAAGGCTAAATACACTTAATTTAAGACATTTTTACTTATTTCTAGATGTTTTTTGCAGTGTGGATTTTCTGAATGATCACACTGCGAAAAATAGAAATCTCAATAAGTTATTTTTTCTTAAAATAAGTGCGTTTTTCCTTGATTTGAGGAGGTAAGTTAGACACTTTGCCAATGAATCATGACAATTTCCTTTTAAAATAAGAAAAAACAATTTTATCGTCTTATTTCAAGCAAATATTATCTAACTATCTTATTTTAAGAGTGAAAATACTAATTCCATTGGCAAATCATCTTATTTACCTGCTCAAATTAAGGCTAAATATGCTTAATTTAAGCCATTTTTTTACTTATTTCTGGGTTGTTTTTGCAGTGCAGAAACCTTCATCAGAAACATGCAGGACAGGAATCAGCAAATAAAGTTCAAATATTTCGTTATACTTAAATAGAAATGTCTGCTATCTATACTTTACTGGAGTCATTATTTTTTTAAACTTTTTACTGCTAATCATTAGATTTTAAAAATGGACTCATTAGTTTTGCTTCATTTAAGCTCTTTTTCATTATGGCCTTTTGGTATTAAAATAATACACTGCAAAAACGATCTAGAAATAAGTAAAAATTTCTTAAATTAAGTGTATTCACCCTTAATTTGAGTAGGTAAATTAGATAATTTGCCAATGGAATGAGTAATTTTACTCCTACAATAAGATAATTAGATAATATGCACTTGAAATAAGATAATGTAGTTGTGTTTTCTTATTTTAAGTGTAAATTGTCTTGTTCCATTGGCAAGATGTTTCTTTTACCTCCTCAATTCAAGAACAAATGCAATTATTTTAAGAAAGAATGAGTTATCTAGATTTAGATTTTTTGCAGTGTAAAAACCATCAAAAAAATTAGTTTCATCCAAAAAATGAATTTCTTTGTAGTTCGAATCGGTGCTGCCCCAACTTGTTGCTCACCACCTACCAAAATAAATAGCTTTTCTAGATGCAAAGTTAAATTTGACACCTTTACCATTATTTATAAAAGTAAGAAAATTAAATATAAGGAAGTTATCATCCAGAATTATAGAAAAATGTTCCTTTAATACGGTAGAGCAGTAAAGCTTCTGTCTTTTATACTTTAAGTAGTTTTTAAAATGGTACTTTTACACCTTTACTGGAGTAAAAAGCTTAAGTTGATCCTCTAACTTCTACAAAAGTGTTTTTAAACAGTAGGATTTATATTGGAGTAATAAACATTAATACACTGCAAAAACGATCTAGAAATAAGTAAAAATGTCTTAAATAAGTGTATTTACCCTTAATTTGAGCAGGTAAATATGAGGATTTGCCAATGCAATTAGTATCTTTACTCCTAAAATAAGATAACTAGATAACATGCACTTGAAATAAGACAATGCAATTGTGTTTTCTTATTTTAAGTGTAAATTTTCTCGTTCCATTGGCAAAATGTTTCTTTTACCTCCTCAACTCAAGAACAAATGCACTTATTTTAAGAAAGAATGAGTTATCTAGATTTTTTGCAGTGTAAAAACCATCAAAATAATTAGTTTCATCCAGAAAATGAATGTCTTTGTGGTTCAAATCGGTGCTGCCCCAACTTGTTGCTCACCACCTACCAAAATAAACAGTTTTTCTAGATGCAAAGTTAAATTTGACACCGTTACCATTATTTATAAAACTAAGAAAATTAAATATAAGGAAGTTATCATCCAGAATTATAGAAAAATGTTCCTTTAATACGGTAGAGCAGTAAAGCTTCTGTCTTTAACAGTTTTTCCTGCTTTACTTTTACTTTTATACTTTAAGTAGTTTTAAAAATGGTACTTTTACTTGAGTAAAAAGCTGAAGTTGATCCTCTAACTTCTACAAAAGTGTTTTATATGTTGTGTTTATATTAGAGTAATAAACATTAATATTTTTGACATCTCTGGGAATGTGTGAGACTAAATAGTGTGATTCCTCTGAAAACGGTTACGCATCAGGCTGATGAGTGAACAATCTGTGGGAAACCTTCATTACTCCTGGAAAACCACTGACCATGACCATCTTCACTCATTAAGAGGGAATCTGGATATTTAGAGCAAAAAAATACGACATCAGAGGCGGAATAAGACTTTCTGAGGTCATGTAAACATTTTGAAATACAACGGAAGGAAAAGATGCAGTTTTTATGTGTTTCCAGTAAAATAAATGCTGATATTTGCTCCTAATGATGTAAACGAAGCAGTAAATAACCGAACATGAGGTCAGTCTCAACTGCTCCTCTCCCTGCTGGCTTCCTCTCTTTGGTTTGGCTTCAACACAGACCTATTGCTCTTCCTCTCAGGTCCTTCTCTCCTCCTCCTCCTCCTCCTCCTCCTGGATGGCCCACGCCTGGATCTCTCCGCTTCCGAATATCATATAGATGACGGCGCCTCCTAAATTGATCCCGGCGGCGACCCAGAACACCTTCCTCCAGCCTTCCAGGGTGTGCTGCCCATCAGAGACGAAGGTTCAGAGGATTGAATCTGTTTTTATCTCTAAGTATTATCAATCATTAAAATTAATAGAAATAAGGCCCATAAATATTCCACTCTAGGTGAGAAGAATCTATAAAGAAACACTGAAATTTTTTAGGATATTCTCATTGTTCGATTTACCCGTTAGTTCACATTTGAAAGCCTTAATAGTTGATAAATCAAATGGAAACGACCACAGAGGAAAATCCAATAGAAGCGAATAAGAACTTTTTAGAACTAATTACAAATAAAGCTTGTTTAAGACTCACATCTTCTGTAAAATATCCCGTCACGATTGGTGCCACGACACCCGGGATGGTCCCAAATGTGTTGGTGATTCCCAGAAGGAATCCTGCGTATCTGCCAGGAGAAGAAACGTGGAAAATTAAGGAAAAAATCAAGATAAAAATGAACATTTAAGCTCCCTACGCTGCCGTCCAGCTGCATTAATGATCCAACAGACTGATGTCAGGAGGACGTCTTCTCCTTTAGAGGACTCTCTACTCTCCATAGGCGGATCTACTGGGGTGGCATACCAAAAAGACAGCCTTGCCACCCCTGCTGCCACCCCAGGTGGCGGTAGGGGTGGCGAAGCTTATAAATTATGAATAATTTGAGAATTCCGACCGCTAATTTCTAATGTCGGACTGCAGTGAATGCAGCACGAGATGACGCGAGAGCGACAGTTTAGTTTTGAAAACCGAATGGGGCAAAGCGAGGTAGCCAGGGGTGATGGGGAGAGGAGACACAGGATGAAACAGGTAAAAACTGATTAACTATCTATAGAGAAATGAAATCATAATGAAAGCTCAATGTTGCTAGCATAGCTGCAATGCTGATTTTAGATGATAAAAATCAGGTTGCAGAACGTTATTTCTCTATCTATGATGTTAGTTACAGTAGGCCTGACGTTTCAGGCTCATAAAGACATTTACGGTCAACTATGACAGAAAAGAGACGATCAGTTTGGTTGAACTAAAATCAAAATGCACAATGGCATCGGATCTAAATAAAGTTGTGAAGCGTTTTGCTGAGCAACATGGAAATCACCGCATTCAGCTGTTATAGTCATGTTAACTTTATGTTCTGCTCTCTGATGTTACATTTTGTTTTGGCACCTCAGAAAATCTGATATTTCCTTTAATAAAACCAAAAGTGTTAAAAGTTAAAAATGTGATACTGGTGTGAATCCTGCTTAATATGAAGCAGTGTTGTTGTTTCTTTTTTTTGTATATATAGTATGAAACTATCCAGAAATTGTCTGTATGAACCTAATCACTAAACGTTTTCTACTTTTTCAGACTGGAAGCAAAATTTATTTTTATGTTGCTTCTTTCCAGATTTGTGGAGATTTTGATGTAACATCCAGTACCTGCATTTTTGTTGATTTGTTGCTACAGCAGCTCTATCTACAGCAGATCTACATGCATGAAATGTCCCTTTCATGTTGCCTTAATTGCTGTATGTCAAGTTACTCTTGAAAAAATGAGGTAAATTTGTGTTCAGAGTAAACAATACATAGATATCCGGTACCTTGTTCGGGTGCCTTGACCCATTTATTTCTACTGTGTAGTTCTGCTCACTTTAGTGCAGCTCAGTCCATAGATCTCTGATGGGAAACTTTTTCTTTCTGTAGTTTCTTCTTGTGCAAATGCTGCAAAGCTGCCTCTCTGACAGTCAATCTCTCACATAATGCCCCTCTAGAAGTAGTGTTATTGTTCTTCTATCTCCTATTAAGTGAGATCTCATTGTTCGATGTATTTCTAATATGAACTGTTTCACATGAAACATTTACTGATTATACTATTCTCACCAAACTGTGATAACTGTGATTAAATTCAGTGTAAACAAATGTCAGATGTTGCCACCTCTCAAAAATTCCTGCCCCCCTCTCGCCACCCCATAAATTATTTTCTAGATCCGCCCCTGCTACTCTCCAAGCAGGACTCCTGCTCGCTGTTGCCGTCTTCCCTCCAAATATGCATCAAAAGGAAAACATTTCACCAGCATCCTGCTGATGCTAACCAAGCTCTGCCCCGGTGGCGGCATGATCACCCTGCAGCTCGCTGGACCTTCTTCTCTGCCTCTGAAACTCCCAGCTTGCCACTGCAAATAATCTAAATCTAGATACCGGTAAGTCATTTTTTCCTAAAATAAGTGCATTTGTTCTTGAATTGAGGAGCTAAAAGAGACATTTTGCCAACGGAACGAGACAATTTACATTTAAAATAAGAAAACACAATTGCATTGTCTTATTTCAAGTGCATATTATCTAATTATCTTATTTTAAGAGTAGAATTACTCTCATTTACCTGCTCAAATTAAGGGTGAATACACTTAATTTGAGAAATATTTACTTATTTCTAGATCATTTTTGCAGTGTGCAGCTGTAAGCAGCAGCTTCCTGCATGCACTGCAAAAAACATCTAGAAATAGGTAAAAAAAATGTCTTAAATTAAGTGTATTTACCCTTAATTTGAGCAGGTAAATAAGATGATCTGCCAATGGAATGAGTGTTTTTACTCTTTTTTACACTTGAAATAAGACAAAGCAATTGTTTTTTTCTTATTTTATATGTAAATTGTCTTGTTCCATTGAAAAAAATGCACTTAATTTGAGCAAAAATGACTTATTTAGATTTCCATTTTTTGCAGTGTGCGAAGCTGTTTTGATGCAAACTGACGATGGCAGCAGCGTCTCTTTAGAGGCGACTCAAGAAAACAAGGATTTTCTTTTACATCAAGACACAAAAACAGCAATCCAACCAGATTCCAAAACACCCGAGAGTTTAAAGTGGTCGCCATGTCAACAGACACCCACCGAGGAGCGATGTCGATCTGGTTGATGTAGACTCCGGGGGAGCTGGTCCCTCCTAAACTGGTGGAGAGGGTGAGGAATGTAACGGTGAGGATGTGGCTGCAGCCGACGTAACAGACGGCGATGAGGAAAACCGACGGCAGCACCAAGCCTGCAGAGAGACGAGGAGAACGTGAGATCAGTCAGAAGTTCCTGAGACAAACGCAAATATTCTGCTGCTCCTGAGTTTCTGTTAATGCTACGTTCAGATCTGCAAAAACGGACGTACTGCTTCATTTCAGATGCTTTTACAAGTTTAGTTCTGACGCGCAGCTGAAGCATCTTTGCTGCTCTGGCTGCCCCGTGGAAAAGTGGGTCTGATGCTCGTTGGGCGGAGCTTGTAGCAATGGCGGCTAAATATGCTGTGATTAGTTGGTAAAAAGCAGTTTTAATGTTTTTAAGTGAGAAAGTCCTCCTGAAAACTTCATCTCTGCAGTAAGTTCATCCAGATTACCATCCTGCCTTCAAAGATTATTTTGCTGTCGGAGCTGGGAATCCCATTCAACAGCAGCCTCAGGCTAACCTGACTCCGCCAGATGGGTTTGCTCCGCATATCCATCTGGAAACCTTCCGTTGAAGTAATTTTGGGAAGGGGCGAAAATACTGGTTAGCTGATTGGCCTATGTTGGTGATAGACGGGCCAAATAAACCAATCAGATCAACAAAGCATATGACGTACTAACAGAGCTACGACGAAAACACAACCACAAGCCAGGCTACTCTTGCCGAAACCAGTCGGGAGAAGAGCAAAAACATCTTTTCCTCTGAGAAAAGCCTCCAGAGCAGTGTTTTGCTCTTCTTTCAGTGAAGAAATACTCTGTAATTCCGATAAAACTTGCTCGATAGCCACGCTAACGCTAGTTTCATCGGCTGAAGCCGCCATGTTCTTTAGACTGAACTGTCGCGCTTCTCGTTGCGTCACACCTCAACCCGCCTCAAAGCCAACGCTGATTGGACGTTCGTTTGGCGAACGGCTCCAAATTTTCTTTAACGGAGAGTCTCCAGACTGATCTGCGAGTGAAACCTTGAAAGCTCGCGAGATCAGGATGGTCTCACCAGGCTACCAAACTGCAGGCACCAGGGTAATAAAATTTTTGCCGGCAGATTTCAGCATTTAAAGTTAATTGAGGCGTTAATAATGTGATCATAGCGCTCTGCATCAGCAGCGCTGTGTCCGTCTCCCTGCCAGCTCCCAGATCAGCTTCTCTGATTGGTTGATGTGACCGTGGAGTAGCAAAAGTTAAATTTTTTGCAGCCCGTCAGATGTTCAGAAGCTCATGGCGCGCTGCTCCTGCTGCTCAAAACACGCTGCGGGACGTTTTTCTGCACCTTGATGCGCGGCAAACATTAACTTTCATGTAAACTAGCTGCTCCTGCTGCCTCTGCTGCTTTAGGTGTGAACGTAGACTCTTAGCCTGGTGAGACCATCCTGATCTCGCGAGCTTTCAAGGTTTCACTCGCAGATCAGTCTGGAGACTCTCCGTTAAAGAAAATTTGGAGCCGTTCACCAAACGAACGTCCAATCAGCGTTGGCTTTGAGGCGGGTTGAGGTGTGACGCAACGAGAAGCGCGACAGTTCAGTCTAAAGAACATGGCGGCTTCAGCCGATGAAACTAGCGTTAGCGTGGCTATCGAGCAAGTTTTATCGGAATTACAGAGTATTTCTTCACTGAAAGAAGAGCAAAACACTGCTCTGGAGGCTTTTCTCAGAGGAAAAGATGTTTTTGCTCTTCTCCCGACTGGTTTCGGCAAGAGTTTGATCTATCAATTGGCTCCTCTTCGTCGTCGCTCTGTTAGTACGTCATATGCTTCGTTGATCTGATTGGTTTATTTGGCCCGTCTATCACCAACATAGGCCAATCAGCTAACCAGTATTTTCGCCCCTTCCCAAAATTACTTCAACGGAAGGTTTCCAGATGGATATGCGGAGCAAATCCATCTGGAGGAGTCAGGTTAGTAGACTCTAGCTTCACTTTGTGATGCATTCACTGATCCTCGGAACAAGATGCTTCTTATGTACTAATTTATTCTACAGCTGTTTCCCAAACCTCAGCCTGGTAATTTATTCACTGAATGTTTATCTTTACACAGAAGCTAAACTTATATTATTTCATATCCATGATTTTTTTTTAAATTAAATTTGTCCCTTTTTGTCCCATTTTTTTATGATCTTTTGAAGCCTGCCTCTCTGATTTTCTGTTAGAGTTTAACCTAACGGGGTTCCAGCCAGATTTACTTTGGTAACCGTTTCTATCTTCTAATCCAGTTTTATTTTTTTAAATCACTTTTCGACGTGAAGACTCGTCTCTAGACCTGGTTTCCAAGCCGTGATGCAGACGAGGACTTTCCGCCGCGAAGGAGAGATTTTCCTTTGATCAGAAAGCACATGGAGACAGAGCCTTTGTTTCTTTGTCTTTGCACAGTATGCCGGCTCACCTGTGAAGGTGAAGATCTTGCGCACGTTGGTGATGCTGAACACCTTCCTCTCGATGAGCCAATCAGCAGCCACGGCGGACAGCAGCGAGGCGGGTATGCTGCCGAGGTACGGCAGCGCCGACAGGAAGCCGTTCTGAAGCCCAAAGAGATAAAATCAGAGGTGAGGAAAAAATGCAGCTTGTTTTTATACAGAAACAGGAAATCTGGAAGAGAAAAAATATGTTTACTACTCAACCTTTTCACTATTTATGTAATTCCTAATGCATTCTATGTTTTAAAAAATCAAAAGGCAACAGGAGGAAAAAAGTGAGAAAAGTGGAATGAAACAGGAACAAAGGAAAGTCAGAATAAACTAAAATGTTAGTTAAAAAAAGAGTTATTCAGTCTGCTGGAACCTCAGATAGTTTTGTGGATCATGTTGATGATGAGTTTATGGAGGGAATTTTGTTACATTATTGTTTAAAATACATTTACTGACATGATTTATCACAAATGGATCGCAAGGGGTGCTGGTGTCTATCTCCAGCTGTCTATGAACGAGAAGCCAGTCCATCGCAGGGAAACACAGAGACAAACAAGCAATCACACCTAAGGAGGATTTAGAGAAGCCAATTAACCAACTAACAGTCATGTTTTTGGACTGTGGGAGGAAGCCGGAGTACCCGGAGAGAACCCACACATGGAAGAACATGCAAACTCCATGCAGAAACACCGGGAATTGAACACGCAACCTTCTTGCTGCAAGGCAGCAAAGCAACCCACTGCCTCACTGAGCAGCCCAGTTTCACAGAACAGCTTTACTAAAGGGAAATAGGAAAATAAGTAAATGAAATGAATTGTAAATGGAAAAAAATGTTACAATGCAGAATTAAAACAAAATAAAAAAATAAAAAAGGCATTAACCCCTAGAACCCTACAGACCCACCGGCGGGTCCAGCTGCTACGTGACCTCTTAATTCTAACAAACCGCCAGTATTGATGTAAAAAACACATTTGGCACAGTTTGGTGACATTTATGGATAAATGTGCCAAAATGGCCTCTCCGCCTAAGAAATTTCTCACTAATACCATTCTAAAATAAATATGATTCATCTGATTGAGTCCAAATTTGGTATATTTTTACACAACATTTAGATTTAAAAGTCTGTACTACTTTTTTGTGCTATAAATAATATTTTGGTAGTGTTTTGCAATGTTTATTTCAAAGAAAATTTTCAAAAAATGCAAAATATTTTGTATTTTGTCCCTAATATTTCAGGCAGGGTCAAAGCTACAATGGTGCTGACACCAGAAAACCATTCTATGACATCTTACCTTTACAGACGTACCAAAAGTTTCTTCTTAAATCTAATAGCTGTGAGGCTATAAGTTATTTACTTTTGTGTGTTTTTGTCAGGCAGATATGTATTTATACCCCCTGAGGGTGTAAGATGTTAAATGCCTTAATCTAAAAAAACGTCTCATCCATCACATCTTAGTTAACTTCACTGATTTTAGGGAAACCGGTGGACCAGAACCAGCAGATATCAGAACCACCTGCTGGATCTTAGTAACAAGCCTCTCCACCAGCAGTGTTGGGCACCTTACTTTGAATAAGTAATTAGTTATAGTTACCGGTACTAGTTACTTCTCGCAAAAAGTAATTGAGTTAGTAACTGAGTTACTCCACAATATAAGTAACTAGTTAGTAGTAAAAGTAACTATTGCGTTACTTTTGCGAGTGTATGAAATTAATAACTGGGGATTTATTTGGTGTGTTTTTATAATATTGAACACCGTAGCCGGTACTCCGAAGCTATGCACGCTAAGGAAACCAACTTTCGGGACTCTTGTGCCATATTCTTTGCAATATGCGGAATGTGCAATATTTCTACACCTGTATATAAACCTGTATATATTTTTTATTTATATTTTGTTTTTCATTGTGGGCGATACATGTACACTTGCACCTTAATCCTATTTATCTTGATATACTGTATATATATATTGCTTATTCTTAATCAGAGATGGCAAAAGTACTCACTTTCCGTTCTTGAGTAAAAGTACAGATACTTGTGTTAAAAAATACTCTGGTAAAAGTGGAAGTACTGATTAAACTTCTTTACTCGAGTAAAAGTAACAAAGTACAGGCTTGTAAATTTACTTAAAGTATAAAAGTAAAAGTAGAAACCACTTTTTTCATGCCGTTGCCTACATTTTAAATGGATGTCTGCCAATAGGACTAGATCTCCGTTGTGTTCATTTTCAATCATCTGGTCGTCCATGCTACTATGCTAACGCCACCGCCACCAAGCTGCAATGATTTGCCGCCAATGAATACCGCCGAATCTGTCGATTCATCTTGTAGTGGTGCGTCAAATGCAACGTAGATTCCCATCCAATTAGATTGAATTTGGTATTGATGACGTGAAAAATAATAACGGTAACTCCATTGAAATGATTCAAAACTAAAGTAACGAGCCAATTTTTTAAAATGTAAGGAGTAGAAAGTACAGATATTTGTGTAAAAATGTAAGGAGTAGAAGTAAAAAGTCGCCAAAATAAGTAGTAAAGTAAAGTAAAAATATCAGAAAAATCTACTTGAGTACAGTAACGAAGTATTTGTACTTCGTTACTTCCCATCTCTGTTCTTAATGCACCTTTTTCCTCCCCGTTTGCACTTTCAGTAACTTCTATGCCAATATCTGACGAGTGAATTTCTCCGCCGTGAAATCAATAAAGCTCATCTAATCTAATCTAATCTAAGTCTAATTCTGAAATCCTGTGTTTGGGTTGTTATAGATACTGCAACTTCTATCTACCCAGATTTCTCCCTTTCTCCATATAGGCTAATGATCCTTCACGCTCTCCATAGTTCTCCTGTGGCGCAAGCACAGGGCGGCTGTTACGCGCCTTTAGCGAGCATGCACGTTTCCTGTTGCTTGCGCGGTGAATCGTGCCGCCGCGCTGTGCGGAGATGCAGGGGAAACCGTATCTGATGGGGAAACGCAGCTCGACGTAACACCGGTATTTCCATCTGGAAAGCGCTGTTTTGCCGCTGGAGTCCTCCTCACTCTCCATCCTCCCCTCTCTCATGACGCGCGCACGAGTCCTATCATGAAAAAAGGTTTATTGTGCGACCTGAGTAACGTGCAGTAACGGGGTGTCGCCAATTGTAACTGTTACAGTAAGAGTAATAATTTTGATAACTCGTTACTAAAAAAAGGTAGCGGCATTAGTAACGCTGTTACTTTCAATGCCGTTACTCCCATCACTGTCCACTAGTGATGGTCCAGCAACACCGATGCGTGGGTGCACGCATGGAGCCCATACAGCAAAACACTGCATCAGTGCGCGTTTGGTTTCAAGAAAGTCATGTGACCGATACAGGAGGTGTTTCTAACTGACTGACTCACTAAACTGTGCAGTGTTGTATAAAGTACTGAAATCTCGGAGTCAAGTAAAAGTATAAGTACCTCTCCTAAATATGACTTTGGTAAAAGTCCAAGTCACTGACTGAAATGTTACTCGAGTAAGTCTTAAAGTATCTGAAATGGCTTGTACTTTAAGGCATACTATGCAAAATTTTTCAGTTAATTAATGTGTTCCATAACGTTTTGGATGATTAAATTAGGTCATTTCAGGTCAAACAAAGGTTTTCTCAGCCGCCCTGGTGGTCTGTAGGGGAATTACCGTACTTGCAATTGCAGGAGCCCTCGGCCCGCACCCACAGGCTCAGACGTCTCGTGCATCGCAAGAGTCGGTCTTGCTTTACGGCGGGAACTGCTACACACCCCCCAGTTGCTAGCGCAGTGGCGATATTTGTGCAGTTATCGAAAATTGGAACAAAATAGTCACTTGGTGATTTGTTGCGTTCGCCTGTCTGCTAAGCTCAAAACAACCGCGCCTGGCTTGACGGAGAAACCAGGAGAACAGCTGAGCATATTTACGACGGTGCACTTTTACTTTCGCCCTCTGGGGGGAGCCTCGCTGGAAAATCAACACCGGTTGCATAGTAGACCTTTAAGTATAAGAATTACTGTAAAATAGACGTACTCAAGTAATGTAGTGAAAAGTATAAGTAAAAAGTGCAGTTTGAATGACATTTTTTTATATTTTGGTAAACTTTGAAGGTTAAATTCACTTAAAATAATATAAACAACCAATTGTAGGATAAATTTAGACTGGCTTTGCGAAACAGGCGTATCCTATTGGGCAAGACCCAACTTTGTAGTCAGTAGGCGGGGTCAAAACAGTTTCGTTTCTCTTGCTCGTTTTTTTTTACTTGGTAACTAAACCAAACATTGAAAATGTATCGGAGTAAAAGTATGCAATTAAGTTCGTAAATGTAGTGAAGTAAAAGTGAAAGTTCTCAAAAAAATGTAAACTCTTGGAAAGTATAAAGTACTCCAAAATATACTTAAGTACAGTAGTGAAGTATTTTTACTTCGCTGCTATAAAACACTGAAACCGTGTTTAAAAACGTTTCTGTCAAATTGATGCACCTGCTAAAATAAATCTCTCATCTTTTGAGGTTTATCGTTAAAATGATCAACAATTTGGAACGTAAAAGGAACAGGAACGTTTCAGCCATTGTGTTTTTATTGTAATTTTCTTGTTGCGTCATCCTTTTTCCTCTCATTTATCACTCAATTTATCTGAATTAAAGTTAATTTCAAATTGACTTTTAATTTATTTACTATTTTACTGTATTTATTGTTTTAAAAATATGATTTAAAATCCTAGTCCACAAGCATCCTCATTCACATTTTCCCCTAAATTGTCACGTTATGATACACGTTTACATTATTTATTAGCTGCATCTAAAAATATCAAAAATACATTTAAGCATAGATATGAAATAACAGAATATAACATACAATAACCTAAATTATATCATTGTACTAAGTCATGAAATAAATTCAGTTTAGTCTATCAAATCAGCTGCCTGTAGTGTCTTTAAATGTCCAGCAGGTGTCAGTATTCTGTAAGACAGTATCATAAATATTTCAGTGTAATTTTAATCTATATTAATTGTCAAATGATTAAATTATATATTCTGTAATAACTGAAAACCACAGTTTACTCTAATAATGTGCGGACAACAATAAATTTATTATTAGATTTCCTTCACCGACAGATTTTTCTGAACATTTTTTTTTCTTTTTCCAATTTTTTTCCCCCACATTCCGAAGAACGTTCCTTTTGCGAACAGCAGTAAAACCGTCCCTCACCGACTGCAGGTCGAAGTGCAGGATGTCGTTCATGTAGGTGGGCAGGGAGGTGAGCAGCGTGTAGAAGGACCAGTTGGAGCACATCTGGGTGATGATGATGGTCCACAGCGGGACGGACGTCAGCATGGACAGGAGAGGCAGCGACCAGCCGTGACCTTTGCCCTGTAGGGGGGGGGGGGGGGGGATATTTAACACAACCCATATCTGCAGTAACATCTTTACAAAAAAGAGGTCCTCAAATGTAAAAGATAAAACTGGAGAAGATCAGAAACTGGATCTCTAAAGGAGAAGTGAGGCGGAAAACTTCCCCAAGCTGTTCGCTTGAAGTGGTTTAAAACCAGTAAAAGTTCTGAATGATGCCTCATCCCAACATCCTCCTGAGTAAATGTGATTAAAGACACAAGCTTGAGCAGAAAAATCTGATAATGCTGCTTTTAATGGCTTAAAACTTTCCTTTTTGATAAAGCTTCTAGTTAGAGTGGCTCAGGTTATCCTGAGCTGTCTCTATAGTTCTGCTGCTATAGGCTTAGACTGCTGGAGGACATAGGGACCCCTTTTTCATCATTCTGCTTCATTCTATCTCTATTCTCCCACTCTGCAGAATCTGTTAGTTCAATCTCTAACATTCTGCTTTTTCTCATAGTAGCTTCATCTGGTCTGTTCCTGTTTGGCTGTGACTCCATCCTGGAGAGAAATATCAGCTGTGCTGCTGCCATCAACACCTTTGTTTCTAGATGATGGAGCTTGGCATGTTTTCCAGTGTAGTCCTGTTTCTCTGACTGTGACTAACTGGATGTGCTCTCTTCATCCTCTGACATGGGAGCTGGCTCGGAGCTCGTCTGCCTGGCTGTGTGTTTCCTGGATGGGGTCACTTTTTACAGTTGTCTTTTGTATCTACAGGTGCTGGTCATAAAATTAGAATATCATGAAAAAGTAGATTGATTTCAGTAATTCCATTTAAAAAGTGAAACTTGTATATTATATTCATACATTACATACAAACTCATATATTTCAGATGTTTATTTTGTTTAATTTTGATGATTACAAATGACAACAAATGAAAATCTCAAATTCATCATATCAGAAAATTAGAATATTACTGAAGACCAATAAAAACAAAGGATTTATAGAAATGTTGGCCAACTGAAAAGTATGAACATGAAAAGTATGAGCATGTACAGCACTCAGTATTTAGTTGGGCCTCCTTTGGCCTGTATTACTGCAGCAATGCGGCGTGGCATGGAGTCGATCAGTCTGTGGCACTGCTCAGGTGTTATGATAGCCCAGGTTGCTCTAATAGTGGCTTTTAGCTCTTCTGAATTGTTGGGTCTGGTGTATTGCATCTTCTTCTTCACAATACCCCATAGATTTTCTATGGGGTTAAGGTCAGGAGAGTTTGCTGGCCAATTAAGAACAGGGATACCATGGTCCTTCAACCAGGTACTGGTAGCTTTGGCACTGTGTGCAGGTGCCAAGTCCTGTTGGAAAATTAAATCTGCATCTCCAAAAAGTTGGTCAGCTGCAGGAAGCATGAAGTGCTCTAAAACTTCCTGGTATGTGGCTGCGTTGACCCTGGACCTCAGAAAACACAATGGACCAACACCAGCAGATGACATGGCACCCCAAACCATCACTGACTGTGGAAACTTTACACTGGACTTCAAGCAACGTGGATGAAGTGCCTCTCTTCTTTTCCTCCAGACTCTGGGACCTTGATTTCCAAAGGAAATGCAAAATTTACTTTCATCAGAGAACATGACTTTGGACCACTCACCAGCAATCCAGTCCTGTTTCTCTTTAGCCCAGGCAAGACGCTTCTGACGCTGTCTGTGGTTCAAGAGTGGCTTGACACAAGGAATGCGACAGCAGAAACCCATGTCTTTCATACGTCTGTGTGTGGTGGTTCTTGAAGCACTCACTCCAGCTGCAGTCCACTCTTTGTGAATCTCCCCCACATTTTTGAATGGGTTTTGTTTCACAATCCTCTCCAGGGTGCGGTTATCTCTCTTGCTTGTACACTTTTTTCGACCACATCTTTTCCTTCCCTTCGCCTCTCTATTAATGTGCTTGGACACTGAGCTCTGTGAACAGCCAGCCTCTTTAGCGATGACCTTTTGTGTCTTGCCCTCCTTGTGCAAGGTGTCGATGGTCGTCTTTTGGACAACTGTCAAGTCAGCAGTCTTCCCCATGATTGTGTAGCCTATAGAACTAGACTGAAAGACCATTTAAAGGCTTTTGCAGGTGGTTTGAGTTAATTAGCTGATTAGAGTGTGGCACCAGGGGCCATCAATTTTGAACCTTTTCACAATATTCTAATTTTCTGATATGATGAATTTGAGATTTTTATTTGTTGTCATTTGTAATCATCAAAATTAAACAAAATAAACATCTGAAATATATGAGTTTGTATGTAATGTATGAATATAATATACAAGTTTCACTTTTTAAATGGAATTACTGAAATCAATCTACTTTTTCATGATATTCTAATTTTATGACCAGCACCTGTATGCTTCTTTTTCTAGGTCTTCTTCTGTCTCCTTGAACCCCAGTGGGCCTCAGCAGATGGCCGCTCACACTGAGCCTGGTTCTGCTGGAGGTTTCTTCCTGTTCAAAGGGAGTTTTTCCTCTCCACTGTCGCTAAAAGCATGCTTAGTGTGAGGGATTGCCTTGCCTTTTCCTTAGATTAAACTGTAAAGTGCCTTGAGATGACGTGTGTTGTGAATTGGCGCTATAAAAATAAACTGAAGTGAATTAATGCTTCACCTGCGCTCCGATAGAGCTGACGATGTAATCTCTCTCCTCTGGGCTGATTCGACGGTGAGTTCGGGGGTCGTCGGACACCAGAGCCCACCAGAACACGAACCACAGGCATCCGGCGCCTCCTGAAGAGGAAGAAGAGGAGCTTTAAAAAAACAAAACAAAAATGAGGCTGAATGGGGGGGGGGGGGGGTTTCTGCCACCGACCACAGAGGTAGAAGACGGCGGGCCAGCCCAGTTTTTCACAGATGTATCCGGTGAGCGGCAGGGCCACGACGGAGCCGAAGCTGGCCCCGGCTCCGGGGAGGCTCATCAGGCGGGAGCGCTCCAGGGGAGGAGCCCACCGGGCCCACATGGCCATCATGGCCGGGAACGTCACACCCTGGAGAAAAACAACAACTTAGATCCCCGATCCAGGAGCGGGCGGGACTCCTGGAATCTTTGATCAGGTTTTCCAGGTTTTTACATCCAATAAATCAAAACCAACTTCTCCGAAGCCCTCCAAGGCCCGCAGAGCAAACAGCCAGTGTGATCCCAAGCCGGCAGCCAATGGGGTGAGGAGGGTGAGGAGCGCCGTGCCGAAGACACCCAGACCGAGGAAGATCTTCCCCCCGTAGTGGCCGGCCAGGTAACCCCCCGGGATCTGAGTGCACAGGTACCCGAAGAAGAAGGAGCCCAGCAGCCAGCCCTGAGTCTGCGAGTCCCAGGAATACTGGGGGGTCTGAGGGGACACAGACAGAGGCCATCAGAGGGGGCGGGAGCACAGAGGTGCGTCCGCTCCTCTTCCCCGGCGGCCACAGTTTACCCCGTCCGGCTGCTGCAGAGCTCTGCTGGCGTTGTCTCCGCCCGACGGCAGCGGGCACGCCGGGCTCGCCGTGGCGTTCCTGTCTCCTGCCAGGTCCGTGCTGTTCACCATGGCTACCATGGCGACGCTGAGGTTGACACGGAGACCGTAGACCACGGAAAAGCCAAAGAACATGAGGACGGCGAGGTTGAGGCGCGCCGAGCAGCACTGAGGAGGAACTAAAGACGGATTTTAAAGTTCAGAATCTAGATCTTTAACAGCCTGTAATCTGTAAACATTTATAGATTTTATACAACATATACACCAAGATATAACCAGAGAAATCAACTCATAAGAACAAATTACGCAGCACGGTTACTTCAGTATCATACGGAAGAGGATTAGGACCACTGAAAAAAAAAAAGTTAACTGATTTTTTAATTTTTTAAAAGTCAGAATACTGACTTTTTTCCTCCGAATTCTGCCCTTTTTCCTCCGAATTCTGCCCTTTTTCCTCCGAATTCTGCCCTTTTTCCTCAGAATTCTGCCCTTTTTTCCTCCGAATTCTGCCCTTTTTTCCTCCGAATTCTGACCTTTTTTCCTCCGAATTCTGACCTTTTTCCTCCGAATTCTGACTTTTTTCCTCAGAATTCTGACTTTTTTCCTCCGAATTCTGACTTTTTTCCTCCGAATTCTCCCCTTTTTTCCTCCGAATTCTGCCCTTTTTCCTCCGAATTCTGACTTTTTTCCTCAGAATTCTGACTTTTTTCTCAGAATTCTGACTTTTTTTTCAGAATTCTGACTTTTTTCCTCCGAATTCTGACTTTTTTCCTCAGAATTCTGACTTTTTTCTCAGAATTCTGACTTTTTTCTCAGAATTCTGACTTTTTCCTCAGAATTCTGACTTTTTTCTCAGAATTCTGACTTTTTTCTCAGAATTCTGACTTTTTTTCTCAGAAGTCTGACTTTTTTCCTCCGAATTCTGCCCTTTTTCCTCCGAATTCTGCCCTTTTTCCTCCGAATTCTGACTTTTTTCCTCCGAATTCTGACTTTTTTCCTCCGAATTCTGACCTTTTCCCCCGAATTCTGACTTTTTTCCTCCGAATTCTGACTTTTTTCCTCCGAATTCTGACTTTTTCCTCAGAATTCTGACTTTTTTCTCAGAATTCTGACTTTTTTCTCAGAATTCTGACCTTTTTCCTACGAATTCTGGCTTTTTTCCTCAGAATTCTGACTTTTTTCTCAGAATTCTGACTTTTTTCTCAGAATTCTGACTTTTTTCCTCAGATTTCTTAGATTAAAGTCAAAATTCTGACTTTTTTTCTCAGATTTCTTAGATTAAAGTCAGAATTCTGACTTTTTTCCTCAGATTTCTTAGATTAAAGTCAGAATTCTGACTTTTTTTCCCATACTAAACTGAAATAAAATTTAAAAATCAGAACTTTTTTTTTTTCCCCCACTGGCCCTAATCCTCTTCCGTAGTATCAATACCGAAGATTTCTTAAATGATTTTATTCAACAAAGAAAATTATTTATACAAACCTTTATTTTTGTATTTAATAGTATTTATTAATTATAGATTAAATTACCACCATTATTGTAGGAATTTAAAGGATAGAAACTTTTTCCTTTTCTTTAATAATTTTATAGTAAGTTTTGCTTTTGATATGTTTTCAGTTCAGCTGAAGATATTAATTATTTAGCTAATCGATTTATTCATCATTTATTCATCCGTCTACATTTTTGGGGGGTTAATTAATCTAAAGAGAGATTATTGATAAATAAACAAATAGAAAAAAAGTTATAGCTCAGTTTAAAGGAATTGTAAATGGAAATAGAAAAAAACTTTATATTTAGTTATATATAAAAAGTTAATGATTTAAATACATTTTAACCCTTTATAGCGCATTTCCAGCCAATAGTGTTATTGGAATCCAAGATAAGACCTTATTACCTTTGTAACATTCAGAAAAATTGATATATTGATGGCAAAAAATGAATGTTGATGTAATAACAAGAAACTTGCCCGAATATATTAAGAAAAATAACAAAAGTGCTTCTAGAAGAAATTTATGAAAACACACTGAGAGTGAAAGAAACACATTGTTTTTTGGTCCAACATAACCTTAGAGACATTAATGCTGATACTGGCACTGACATTTTTTAGTTTATAAACCTGAATATAATTATTAACTAGAGTTATTAATTTATTAGCTTTGACTCCATTTGTAAGGGACATGCAAGGGATAAAAAACACTAACTTTCTCTATAAAGGGTTAAATTAACTAATTCCTAAATAATATCTCATTATTTGATACATCATTTAATATGATTTTTTATTATTAAATGAGACAATTCATCATTCAATCTTCCTTTTGACAGTTTGATAGTACAAACTTGAAAAAAATCTAAATCTAGATAATTAATTTTTTCTTAAAATAAGTGCATTTGTTCTTGAATTGAGGAGGTAAAAGAGACAATTTGCATTTAAAATAAGAAAACACAATTGCATTGTCTTATTTCAATTGCAGATTATATAAATATCTTGTTTTAAGAATAAAAATGCTCGTTCCATTGGCAGATTATCTCATTAACGTACTCAAATGAATGGTAATTACATTTACTTTAAGAGATTTTTGCTCATTTCTAGATTGTTTTTGCAGCGTAGCTATTAATAGAAAATAACATTTATATTTAAATCATGTAGTATAAATAACTAAAGGTAACATTTTCTTCTTTCATAGTATGTTTATTTAATTATTTCATTATTTTTGGTTACTTCACTATAAACCTCTGCTCTGAGTTATTAGTTGATTTTAATACAAAATAAATGAAGATTATTTCAATAATCACTTCATCGCTGTTAATCAATTATTGAACAGTTAATTGTTTTAGCCCTGCTTTTAAGTTGTTGCTTTCCTCTTTTTTTTTTGAGTTTTTAAAGCACTAGTGGCTTGTTTTTTCAACCAAAGGCCGTTAGGAAAGGGGAAAGGTCCACAGGCCGGATTCGAACCCGGGTCATGCGCTAACGCTGCACCTGAACACTGCAGTGAGGGTTTCCTCCTGCCTCTGATAACCTTTCAAACATTACATTTCTACTGGGATATTTATCAAACACTTAAACTTTAAAATAATAACTAGTATATAATTTAAAAAAAGGGTTACATCATCAATATGCTTCCTCTTTAGCTTTGTTGTAACAGATAAAAACTCACCGGCATCCTTCGTGAGGAGAACCTCGGTGTCATCGCTCTCGTCCGAAGCGTTGTTGTTGATGGAGCAGCCATTGGGCAGCGGCATGTCAGGCGTCGGGGGGGGGGGGGACCCGGTTGGTTGTGTCGGTGTCAGTGAGTCATGGCGAGCCTGAAACATGCAGCAGTCATTTTAAACCACCGAGAGGAAGTGAGGCGGCGTGATGACAGAGTTTCTGCTGATGGCGTGGGTTAACGTAGGGAAACTCTGCAGGTCTGTGCAGAAATGCCCGGGCAGTTTGATGACACGCGCCGTTACTTCCTCACCTGATCGGGGCGGGTCTGTGGGACAACATGTTGTTTTCAGTCACCCAAACAGCTGATTGCTGTCATGACTGTTTTATAACAGCAGCTCTGCACTTTGGTCAGAAAATAGAAAGATCTGCAGAAATTCCTTCACCTTTGAAAACATTCGAACGATGAAGCGGAATTTTTAACAAGTAATCTGCAACTTTTCACAAAAATTCATAACATCCTGCATCACACCCGGGAAGGAGATAACCACAAACGATGGATAAAACACCTTCAAACATCACCGACGGAGACCTGCAGCAGATTGTGTCTCCATAGCAACCATAACATCACCTTTACATGCATACACATCTAAACATGTGGAGGTTTCTAAACCCTAACAGGTTTTTAACCAAACCTTTTCAGAACAGAGATCCCAGGTGTTATAAGCACGGCGGAGGTCAGGTGATGCTGCGGGCCTGTTTGTGTCCTATAGGACCTACCTTGTCAGAAGCTAATGAAAAACTTTGAAAAAGCGGCACGTTTGAAACATTTATGTTATCAACAGCCGACCTTCTTCCATGGCTCGCTCACTTCCTGGACCTGAGTCCTGTTGGAAACCTCTGCTGGAGAACTGATTATCCGCTTTGCTACCAGTAACTGTCCTACTGATCTTTTTAATGCAGCAGGAAACATTTAAATGTTGGATTTTTTTTAAAATTCATATTTCTGAAAAAGTGGATTTTTTATTTTTATAACATGAGAGGAGCCAATAGACATGACTGTGGAAATATTACTGTATTTGCAAATAAAATCTTTACACAAAGTTATCCTGAGGTGGAGAAAAAACGATCGGTTTTGAACACTTTGCATTAAAGGTTGGTATTTGTTTAGCTCTTTATAAAATCCAAGGATCCCAAAGCGCTGAATTCAGTCTAGGGTTAAAACAATTAATCAATTATTGAAATAATGGCCATCTAATTAAGTAATCGTTTAAACATCACCTGGAGTAAAGAGACTCTAAAACATACCTTTAGCTGACAGAGCAACACATTTAGAGCAGGAATTGTAAAAAAAAACTTACAATATCTAAACATTTTACATTTAAAGGAAAAGTCGCTCATATTCAGAATTCAAACTTCTGAAAGTTCTTTAAATCTGAAATGATTCCATCCTGTTCAATAAATGATCAGTGTTTTTAATTCAGAGTAATTTTCATGTGAATGTGCTTTACTGGAGGCATCCATGTTTGTCAAAGAACACTACTGCCACCTACTGGTTAGTGACATTGTCACGGTGCGGTATCGGCTGTTGATCAAGTCCCAGTGCTGTATCTGGTGTTTGTCACATCGCGCTATTATCCAAGTCATCTTGAAAACATTCTTCTTCCAAATGTTGACTACATATTACGTGTTTTTTCTCTGGCCAGAAGTTCGATGGCAAATCCTCCCTCTTCAAGTTGGCGATCCAACGACCAACCCGTCCGTGGAGGATCAGGAATCAGAAAGGTGGAATAACTCTTTTTTTTCACTTTTACCCGATGTATTCCAGCATCCAGCTGCCATGCACGTGGGCATTGTCAGTTTCACTATAGCTCTGGTGAATTTCAATGGTGAAGTCCTCTGGAAATCTTCAATAATTGTTGTTGATTGCAGATGTGTCTAGTAGTTCCCATTGATTTAGCTTGTAAAGCGGGGAGAATGGCGCTAGGCTAACGGCACCGTGACGTCACTGCTGGAAGATGGCAGGAGGGAGGGGCTACTATATTTGAGCAAAAATGGCCGCTCCCAGACTCAGTGATCGCAACGAAAATTATTTTTATCTACTCTAAATTCATTAAATCACCATGAACGTATTAGTTTCTAAGTATAAATAATGATCCTTTGATTATTTCTTGCTGACCGGACTTTTCCTTTAAGATAAAAATATTTTTTCGTCTGTCAGTCTGCTCTAATCAGAAATCCTCAAGTGTAAAAGTTTTAGTTTCACCTGTTTTAATAAAAAAAAAAGTCTTCTTTAGGAAACCTTTTGATGCCCGATTATTTTGTTAATTGTTGCCATCAGTGGCGGTTCTAGACCAAATGTACCAGGGGACCAGGAGGGGGCCAGGAGGGGGCCAGTGTGTTTTCATGGGGGCCCAGAGAAAAGGATTGAAACATATCAAGAGAGCTGCATGAAGTGAAATTTCTATTCAACTTTGTTTAATTAAAATTCTATGTCTTATTAGGTCTATATACATTCATAATTTAGGAACTTTTACATATTTTTCGCTTAATTTGAGTTAAAATTACAGATTTCTAGCAAATCTGAATTGGAACTCAAGAAAAACTGATAAATTCAGCTGTAATTTTTTTTTTTTTTATTTGTTTTGAAAAAAAAAAAAACATTTAGCAGATGAAAACTGGGATCCTATCTCAGTACCACTGAAGCTATCACCTCATTGTTTTTAAATAATTAGTAGGGATGCACGATATAATGGGCCCCCTATCTGTATCGGCCTTAAAACTGAATATCGGCCACCCCACCGATATTTAACCCGATATTTAATCAGCTTCTGAGTTTCTAAAGTCTAAAAAAAAAAGAAAAATACTACTTCTTCTTCTTCCTCAAAAACTTTTTTTTTTTTTACAGACTTAAAAACTTCTAAAGACGAGGGAAAAAATATTGATCCATTAAAATATCCCAATATCTTCATATGCTGATATATTGCCATTTAAAAACACCATATCAATCTCTTTTACTAATGAAATATTGCTATATGTCATCGTTATGCTACGAAATCCCCCGAAAATTCACGAATGTTGCCATATTTTATATGTTGATATATTGACGCGGTATCGATCTATTTTACTAACAAAATCTCACAAGAATTTGCAAAATATCACGAGAGTTTGTAACAGAACGAAGAAATTTCACCAGATTTTAAAAAGTAAAATAGATCGATGCCGCGTTTTTAAAAATCTATTTGATATCAGCATATGAAAATATATTTGAGTATATTATTTTTCAAAGTGTTTTCAATGGATAACAAAACTGCTATTTTCAATGACTACTTATTTTTGTCCAGCTTTAACATCGGTATCGATATCGGTTATCGGCCACATGAGTTTTAAAATATCGGCATATCGGATATCGGCCAAAATCCCAATATCGTGCATCCCTAATAATTAGTAAAACAGAATTTGTAATGAAAAAAATGAAATAGATCCAACGGACCGATCAGTAACCATGTCTGTTCCAGCGCAGGTCATCATTAGAATTTCTTTGATTATAGGGTAAATTTCGTCAACCAGGACGAAGACAAAAATATTTCCTTATTTTTATTTTTTCGTCTTTTAATCTGCTCTAATCAGAACTCCTAAAGTGTAAAAGTTTTTGTTTCACCTGTTTTAATAATAATAAATAAAAAAAAACTTTAAAAAACCTTTAGATACCCGATTATTAATCAATTATAAAACAAAAAACACATTTATCGTTTGGAAAATGATCATTAGATGCAGTCCTAATTCACACACTGATGGTGCTAAGCTAGGTTGTAGCCCCAGCTGTCCTGGGGCACACTGACAGAAACCCCCCACCCCCCCACCCCCCCCCACCTGTAGGCCATGCAGGTTAAATGTCCTGCCCAGGAACACAACCAATGAGGATGGAGCTGGAGTTTAAACTGGCAACCCAACAGTTGCAGGACAAACTCCTTCATTTACCCAAAATATAACATGCTCAGCCTTTCTTGGTGTCCAGAAGGTAAATGAACATGAAAGTGGAAATATCTATTATCAATATCGGCCCAGAATTTCCCATCGTTTCCATTCAGTCAGAAACCCAGCAGCTGATGAAACGAGCAGCGGCCTGATGGGTCAGAACCACCATGATGACCAAACAGACACGTGTGGCTTTCAGGAGGTTTAGGAACCAACTGGTCACCCATAGCAGGTTTCCCACAAATTTTAACTTTTAGGAACTATTATAGCCTCTTGGAGCGAAACAGGAAGTAGATCAATTCTTTGGAAACAAATAAAAAGAGTACATCCTCTTTTGGGTTTTCTGAGTGTTTAACATATGAGGGGAAAGTGATCCGAGCTTTACGTGTTTTCAAGTGTGAGGAAAGCACAGCAGATTTCCATGCGTCACTGTTTATTCAACAACTATAGAGAAGGGAGGAGACGGAGAAGCAGGCTGATGATTCTCTGTCTCTGAAATCAACTGATTTTAAATCAGTGTGTCGAAATGATGCCAGTTCTGCTACGGTAACAGAGGCGCAGGAGGGACGTCCCTGCAGATTCAGCCACCCTGCAGTATGAAGCTCAGAGGAAAAAAACCCAGAGCTCCTCCTCAGACTAGAAACTGGGACGTTTTTTGTTTGTTTAGCCGAACATTTATTATTTAACTGTGCATTTTATAATAAAATTTTTGACTCATGCATTAGATAAACAAATGTCACATTTATCTCTTCCATGTGACCTTAATGTATTCCAGGATCTATTTATGCCCCGTTTGTACTTTAGGGATCGCATCGCAATGATTGTAAATAACCATCTTGTGACCCCCCCACTTTGGAAACCGCTGCCTTTAAAATGATTGGCAGTGAAGTTTGGAGGCGGGACTTCAATGATATGGGTTTGCTTTTCAGGATTAATCTAATCTAATCTGATTGAAGGGTGAAGGAATAAAAATAAGACCTATTATGAAGATTGGATGCCAAACACACAGCTGTGGAGACACCGCTGGTTTTAGAGAACGTAAATAAAGCTGCTAAAAACTAACTGAGGAAATTCCCCTGGATTATCGTAGATTAATAACCTGGAAACCTGTTGATCAACATAACCCAAAGAGAAAGAGGAAAGTGTGACTGGTATGAAGGAGGAAATTACCAAACTATTATCTAAGAAACAGCGGATGATTTAAAATCTAAATAATCTGATTTCGCTGTAAACAATGTGAGGTTTATTTCATTCATTATCTGAAGTTAATGACGATGCTCTTAGTCTCTGTAATCCCAGATAAAACATGATCTATATGTCAATTTTCTGATAAAAAACAAGCCTGAGCAAGTGTGAGAGCGCTTCATATCGGGGGTCTATCTCAGGAACAATCGACGCTTCATTGAACCACATTTCTGTCGTCAATATTTGGATGAAGGTCAGGAGCAAACAGGAAGGCCTCAACTCAGTGGAACCAAAACAAAGCTTTGGGTTGGAAAGAAAAAGAGTTATAAATCACTGAGATTAAGAGTCATTTGTCATAAAAAGGTTCCCTTCGGACTGGTTTGTTAAATCAGTCATTCACTTTAGATACAGTTCATCATGTCGTTTATATGATATAATAGTTGATTTTGTTAATTGTTGCTATCAGTGGCGGTTCTAGACCAAATGTACCAGGGGGCCAGGAGGGGGCCAGCGTGTTTTCATCGGGGCCCAGAAAAGCATGAAACAAAAAACAGGGAAAAGGATTTAAATATATCAAGAGAGCTGCATGAAGTGAAATTTCTATTCAACTATATTTAATTAAAATTCTATGTCTTATTAGGATAATATATATTCATAATTTAGGACATTTTACATCTTTCTTTGCTTAATTTAAGTTGAAATTGCAGATTTCTATCAAATCTGAATTAGAATTAAAGAAAAACTGATAAATTCAGCTGTAAAAATGTTTATTTTTTTATTTGTTTAAAAAAATAATAACATTTAGCAGGTGAAAACAGACAGAATTTGTAAAGAAAAAACATGAAATAGATCCAAAGGACCCATCAGTAACCATGTCTCTTCCAGGCAGCGCAGATCATCATTAGTATTTCAACCAGGACGACGACAAAAATACTTCGTTAACGCCCCTTTTTCCCGTGACGATGATGAGACGACGACGCGCAAAAATTGTTTCCAGAAAATAAAAATACGACGAGAATAAAAAATATTTTCGTCAAGACACTAAGACCAGATGAAATGTACAAGCCATGGAGGAATGAACATTAAGAGATGTAATTGTTTATAATTAATTTGTAATTCTTAATATAAGAGTTTCTTGAGCTTCATAGAAGATTACGGGTTGTTGCCCTGTTCGCCCCTAAATGGTGCCTACAGCGCCTCGCGCCGCTCAGTCAGTACTAGCAGAGGTATTAGGCCCCGTTCACACGAAGTCAAAACGAACACGAAACGCTGATATTTTCCAAAATGTTTGTCGTAAAGACGGAGACGTAAAATAAATGTGATCGTCCACACGAATGCATGAAAACGCTGCAAAATGTATGCCAGGCCTGTAAGTGGCGCTGTGGTGCCAAAGCAAAAATAGGCAAAAATAGGCGACGAAATGTTGGGCATGCGCACTAATATTTATACATGGTTGCCCTGCGGGTCCATTTTCGTGGTTCAGTCAAATTCAGGTGCTGAACTATGTGGTCGATATTGCTCTGTTCTTCCTAGAGATATTCCAGAAGAAGAAGATTCTGTTGTAAGCCCGACAGCAGGGTGAGTAGCATGAGCAGCAACCATTCAACACAGTACGGCGCCATTGTTGTTGTGATACTGTGTCGCGCATGCATGTTTAGAGGCGACGCTATGACGCATGCGTGTAAAAAAAAAATGCAGTTAGAGCTTAAAGATGGAAACGCGAAAACGGCATTTCAAAATCTTCCCACTCTGAAGGCTTAATAAAAAAAAGATCGTTTACAGACCCCCGAAACGCCGGCTTCGTATGGATGAGAGGCTGGTTTGGTGAAAAATGTGTGCGTTTAGGCCAGGGTTCGGCTTCGTGTGGACGGGGCATTATACTCCTACACTTGTAGTAGTTAACCGTGGCTAGCTCAACTTTGCCGTCATGGCGTCTGGCTCGGTGTGCGGTTTTTTGTAGAAGCTGGGCGAAAACAATGCCTGGATGTATGGAGCCATTTCATTTACAACACGAAGGACAATAAAACAACCTGCATGATAATGACTGACAGCACAGCCAAATCAGACGTTGGGGAAGGAAGGGAAGTCTGTTGCAGAGATGGTGGGAGCCCCCCCACCGTACAAACCTGACGCCGAAGAGCAGAAAGCCCTGGAGAACTTAATGGTAAAGATTGAGCGCTCTGGCCTGCCTGCAAGGACCATGGAGGATGAAGACTTTGTGGATATGATGAAACAAGCCGATAAAAGGTTCAATGTGAGCAGTGAGATATATGATAAAAAGAGAATCGGTGTTTGAAGTTCTATTATTTACAGTGTTATTTAAATAAAACAGAGAAAAAGAGAAGCTGTGAATGGAGAAGTTCTATTATTTACAGTGTTGACTAAAAAACTAAAATTTCACTAAGACTAAAACTGATTTTCGTCAATTTGACTAAGACTAAATTAAAAATATTTTAAAAAGCTGATGAAATTAACACCAGGACATGAGCTAGAGGGGCACCGGTCCCCCGTTGGCCCCCTGTCTAGAACCGACGGTGGTTTTTATCATCTTTATTTCCTTAAGATGATATCTAACTTCCCTAAAACAATCTTACACAAGGAACCCAATGTGAGCTCTCTTAAGGAAAGGTTTGCATATATTTTTTATTTTTCTTTAATTAAATCCTCCTTCCAAGGCGCCTCATCGTTTCTTATTTGAACAGAAACAGAAATAAAGTCAAGGCAGAATGAGAGGAATGCATCCTAATCTAGTGTAGGATTCGCAGGATTCAAGTCAACCTGTGTGAACAGTTCAAACCGGTTCAACATAAATATACACAAAGCTGATCCAGATGCAAAATACTGGGGAGAAAATCTATTCTTATTTACAAAACTTTGTTTTTTGTTATCAGTGGACAAAAAAACACTGCTAAAGTTAACAAGTTAGCATTAAATTAGAGATTACTCTATGTGTAAATAATTAACACTGGGTTTACCCCTAATGACAGGTAATAACGTCAAAAGAGAAGTTATTCACAACATGTATTTTGGCTAAAATTAAGAAATCTAACATAAAAATGCAGTTAGAGAAACACAAAAAACGTAAAAACACATGAAGCTACATAATAAAGTAATGTAAAAACTCCACAACTTTCTGCTAAATAACCTTTAACAGCGTTATAATAACAGATCTTACCTTCTTAGCGGAACTGAAACAAATAAGCAAAAGGTTTTTTCCCGGCAGGACAAACACTAGAAGAAGCTGCTGTTGTTTTACAATAAAAAGTCACATGAGGAACAAAGATTCCGGAAAAACAGATTTCAAAACCATCGACAGCAGCTGTTTTTCATTTGACAGCCGAAAGAGAGCGCGCTGATGATTTGTCAATCTGTGCTGACAGCTGTGACGTTGAAGTCTGTGATTGGTTCGTTGTGCTCCGGCAGCAGCGGCTGTGCGGAAGTTAACCAAAGCTTTAAATAAATTAAACCACAAACAGCTGAGTTGTTATATTCTCTTCAAAGTGGTTCCTGTTTTACTAACCAACGCTTTAGTTGTTTGTAATATTGGTTCTTCATAAATATGAACGAACATTAAAAAAAAACATTAAAAAAAAATCTAGTAATGATTAAAATTTCGCCCTTTTTTCAGAACTATTTAATTTTTAAAGTTTTATAATAAACATAAAAAAAAATGAAATTAAAATTAATAAAAATTCCGTAACGAAACTTATTTACTTTTTTTTAATAGGAGCCTATTTCTATTATATATTTTTTTTATTTTATTATAATTTTCACAAAGAACAAAACTTAGAGGATATTATACGCTTAAAGTTACATTTAGTTTATTTTATAATTTCCCTTATACAGCAGATTGGGGGTTTTGTTCCCCGCGTTGCTAAGGGCAACGGACCGCCTGTTTGTAGGCGGAAATCAACACAACATCGGCTAACGTCTGAGGCTCAGCTTGGAGCTCTCTTCCCCACCTCCATATAAACCTTTATAACAGCAGCCATGGCCGGCTACAGGGTGAGACTGCAGGGCGCTCTCTGTGTCAATTGTTAATATATTCTTTAATGCTGTTATTTTTTGTTTGTTTTATCTTTTTATGCTGTTGTAGCATGAGCTAACTGGTTAGCAGCGAACGTTGCCTGGCAGTGAACGCACCACGAGTTCTACCTGCATGATGTTCAGCCTTTATGTCTATTTAAAATACCTGAAGCTGCTTTAATCAGATTTCAAACGTGTTTTTCTTGATCTTTTTATTTGTTTCAGTCCTCAGAATCGAGGCGGGAACAGTTTAGGAGATACCTGGAAAAATCTGGAGTTCTGGACACTTTAACCAGCGGTTAGTGACACTAACACCTGATCAATCAGTTAGTGGGACTGTTTTATTAATCAATGGCTTAAAGTCGTAGGCAAGTCCTATTTAAATTTCAAACCCTTCTGGATTAAACATGTATATAAATGTACTCTTTATAAGACTATATTGTCTGAACAATTTAGAAAATTTCTATTTAAAAAAAAAAATTACTGTCTAAAAATCTGTTTTGTTTTTTTTTTTCGGTTATCTTCTGCACACCTAAACACATCCTGAACACCTAAATTCAGCCAATCATAAATCAGCGGTCCTCTGTCAATCAAATGTTTTCGGTCACAGCATCTTTGATCTCACATTGGAGAAATTTATCTCTGCATTTAACCCATCCCCTTGGGGAGCAGAGGGCTGCCATTGTGCGGTGCCTGTGGGGTTAAGGGTCTTGCTCAGGGAGCCAGAGTGGCAGTCTGGGGGAGTGGGGGATCAAACTCTCAATCTCAGGATTCAAAGCCCTATGCCCCAACCCCTAGACCGTTTACAAAAACTGTTCCTTCGGCTGCATTAATTCCTAGTTTCCTGCATTAGAGACCATCATGAAGCAAACTGCTGATGGCAGGGATTTTCCTTGGAGGAAACTACAGGAAGACGGTGTTTTCAGGACATCTTTCTCTTTATGTTCGATCAATCTGACGTACGGAGCCATTTCATTTCCCTTTGGGATCAGGAAAGTATTTCTGATCTGATCAGCCTGTGTTGATGTAACATGGCTTAATCTTCTCACTTTGGGCATAAAAACTTTAAAATGAACGATTAACGAAAGAAGAAAAATCTAAGTTCATTTTTCTTTCTTTATTAATTAACATTTTACTCGTACTCGTCGTCGTCTCCCGCTTTATCCGGAACCGGGTCGCGGGGGCAGCAGGCTAAGCAGAGACTCCCAGACTTCCCTCTCCGCAGACACCTCCTCCAGCTCTGTTGGGGGAAGCCCTAGGCGCTCCCAGGCCAGCCGAGAGACATAGTCTCTCCAGCGTGTCCTGGGTCGTCCCCTGGGCCTCCTCCCGGTGGGACATGCCTGGAACACCTCCCGAGGGAGGCGTCCAGGGGGCATCCGAAGAAGATGTCCGAGCCACCTCAACTGACTCCTCTCGATGTGGAGGAGAACCGGCTCTACACTGAGCCTCTCCCGAATGACCGAGCTCCTCACCCTATCTCTAAGGGAGAGCCCAGCCACCCTGCGGAGAAAGCTCATTTCAGCCGCTTGTATCCGGGATCTCGTTCTTTCGGTCATGATCCAAATTTCATGACCATAGGTGAGGGTAGGAACGTAGACCGACCGGTAAATTGAGAGCTTTGCCTTTTCGCTCAGCTCTCTCTTCACCAGGACAGACCGGTGCAGCGTCCGCATTATTGCAGCAGCCGCACCGATCCGTCTATCGATCTCCCGCTCCATTCTTCCCTCACTCGTGAACAGGACTCCAAGATACTTGAACTCCTCCACTTGAGGCAAGGACTCCCCTCCAACCCGAAGGGGACAAGCCACCTTTTTCCGGTCGAGAACCATGGCCTCGGATTTGGAGGAGCTGATTCTCATCCCGGCCGCTTCACACTCGGCTGCGAACCGCCCCAGCGCACGCTGTAGGTCTTGGCAGGAGGGAGCCAGCAGAACTACATCATCCGCAAAAAGCAGGGACGAGATCCGCTGTTCCCCAAACCAGACCCCCTCCGGTCCTTGGCTGCACCTAGAAATCCTGTCCATAAAAGTTATGAACAGGACCGGTGACAGAGGGCAGCCCTGTCGGAGTCCAACATGCACCGGGAACAGGTCCGACTTAATGCCGGCAATGCGAACCAGACTCCTGCTCCGCTTGTACAGAGAACGGATGGCCCCTAATAAAGGGCCCCTGACTCCATACTCCTGGAGCACCCCCCACAGGGCAGCACGAGGGACACGGTCGAATGCCTTCTCCAAGTCCACAAAACACATGTGGACTGGTTGGGCAAACTCCCATGAACCCTCAAGCACCCTACAGAGGGTGTAGAGCTGGTCCACCGTTCCACGGCCAGGACGAAAACCACACTGCTCCTCCTGCAGCCGAGGTTCGACAATCAGCCGGACTCTCCTCTCCAGCACCCTGGCATAGGCCTTTCCGGGGAGGCTGAGAAGTGTGATTCCCCGATAGTTGGAACACACCCTCCGGTCCCCCTTCTTGTGGAGGGGAACCACCACCCCAGTCTGCCAATCCAGGGGAACTGTCCCCGACCTCCACGCGATGTTGAAGAGACGTGTCAACCATGACAGCCCGACAACATCCAGAGCTCTGAGATACTCAGGTCGGATCTCGTCCACCCCCGAAGCCTTGCCACCGTGGAGTTTTTTGACTACCTCGGTGACTTCAGCCTGGGTGATGGACGAACCCAGCCCCAAGCACCTCGTCTCTTCTTCCCCCACGGAAGGCATGTCTGTCGGGTTGAGGAGATCCTCAAAGTATTCCTTCCACCGCCCGACAATATCCTCCTTCAAGGTCAGCAGCTCCCCACACCCACTAAAAACAGTGTTAGTGAAGCACTGCTTTCCCCTCCGGAGGCGCCGGACGGTTTGCCAGAATCGCTTTGAGGCCAACCGATAGTCTTTTTCCATGGCCTCTCCAAACTCCTCCCAGGCCCGAGATTTTGCCTCTGCAACCGCCCGGGCCGCGACACGCTTGGCCTCACGGTACCTGCTTGCTGCTTCAGAAGTCCCACAAGCCAGCCAGGCTTGATAGGACTCCTTCTTCAGCTTGACGGCATCCCTTACTATCGGTGTCCACCACCGGGTTCGGGGATTGCCACCACGACAGGCACCGCAAACCTTACGGCCACAGCTACGGGCAGCCGCATCGACAATAGAGGCAGAGAACACAGCCCATTCGGACTCCATGTCTCCAACCTCCCTCGGAACCTGAGAGAAGCTCTCCCGGAGGTGGGAGTTGAACACGTCTCTGACCGAGGGCTCCACCAGACGTTCCCAGCAGACCCTCACTACACGTTTGGGCCTGCCGAGTCTTTCAGGCTTCCTCCTCTTCCAGCGTATCCAACTCACCACCAGGTGGTGGTCGGTGGACAGCTCCGCCCCTCTCTTCACCCGAGTGTCCAAGACATGCGGCCGAAGATCAGAAGATACGACTACAAAGTCGATCATCGACCTTCGGCCTAGGGTGTCCTGGTGCCAAGTGCACCGATGGACATCCTTATGCCTGAACATGGTGTTCATTATGGACAATCCGTGACTTGCACAGAAGTCCAATAATGAGACACCACTCGGGTTCAGAGCTGGGGGCCCGTTCCTCCCGATCACGCCCCTCCAGGTGTCACTGTCGTTTCCCACGTGGGCGTTGAAGTCTCCCAGCAGAATGATGGAATCCCCGGGAGGGGCGCTTTCTAACACCCTCCCCAGGGATGCTAAGAAGGCCTGGTACTCCGTACTGCCGTTCGGCCCATAGGCCGAAACAACTGTCAGAGTCCTCCCTCCAACCCGAAGGCGAAGGGAGGCGACCCTCTCGTCTACCGGGGTGAACTCCAACACGAGACGGCTGAGCTGGGGGGAGACAAGCAGCCCCACCCCCGCCCTCCGCCTCTCCTCGCGGGTAACTCCAGAGTAGAAGAGAGTCCAGCCTCTCTCAAGGAGCTGGGTTCCAGAGCCCTGGCTGTGCGTAGAGGAGAGCCCAACTATTTCTAGCTGGTATCGCTCCACCTCCCGCACAAGCTCGGGCTCCTTCCCCCCCAGTGAGGTGACATTCCACGTCCCCAGAGCTAGTTCAAGCGCCCGCGGATCAGGTCGCCGAGGTCTCCGCCTCTGGCTGCCGCCCAATCCTCTTTGCACCGGTCCCTCATGGTTCCCCCTGCAGGTGGTGGGCCCACTGGGGGATGGCCTCGCGTCGCTCCTTCGGGCTGGGCCCGGCCGGGTCCCGCGAGGAAGAACCCGACCACCAGGCGCTCGCCGACGAACCCCAACCCCAGGCCTGGCTCCAGGGTGGGGTCCCGGCTCCGCCGTACCGGGCGACGTCACGTGCCTCGTTTGAGTCCTCGTCATAAGGGTTTTGAATTAATTAACATTTTATCTCCCTTAATTCCCCCAAAACTGAAAGTTTAATAACAAAAAAACAACTTTGTCATAAATGAAACACATTTGTGGTAACAAGTATAGTTAGGCCCGATCAGCGAAGCGCTGCGAAGGCCTGTTGTCATTTTTACTGCTGTTTTAATTTCTCAAAATTTCTGTTTTCCAGTTTTGGTCGCTCTTTATGAAGAACAAGACAAACCCGAAAATGCACTGGAGTATCCTTTGTTTTCCCTTATCAACATGTTTATACAGATAATCTTTAATCAGTGTTTGGAGTTCTGTATTTAGGTTTTAAAAACTAAAACAGGAACATTTGTTGCTCCTGTCTGAAGCTTGGTCAGGAATCGATTTGTTGTCTTTATGTTAGAATAAAAATATAAAAGATTCCTCGGATTTAAAAGATTACTTCCCTGTTTTAACACAAATTTCTGATGATATTTTTATCTTTCAGAAGCAGAAAAGAACAACTCCCCATACCTAGGAGCGTCTCTGTTACAGTTATTGATGCTTTAGTGTTGTTTTTATATCTACTGAAGGCTGAAACCACCATTTTCTGTACAGTGACTAATTTAAAGTAACCATCAAAGGCCTGCCCTTTAAAAACGTATTCTATAAAAAGCTAATTTATCAGAACTGTAAAACAGGTGAGGCAGGGAGTATCCTGCATGTCCAGATTAACTGGATAATCTGGGTTTGTTCTGTTGGTTTTTATTACCAACATGTATGAGACAGAAATAAAAAAAAAAAACTCTTTCTCGTTAGATTTAAAAAGTTGTTTCAAAGCGATAAAAAGTGGGATCTATAAGCAGTCAGTAAAAAAAATCCTAATCGGATGTTAGTCAAGCAAAACTTAAACTAAAAGCTGTTCTAATGTTTGTATCTGTCCGCCTGCCTCCTCGTCCCGCAGGAACAGGCGATCTGTGGACCTTCAGTCCGCTGCGTATTCAGAACCATAGAAAAGGATTTTACTGTGGAGGGGAAGTTAAAATAAACAACAGAGATTTAAAAATCTTTTTTTATTTATTTAATCAGTGAAATTTTACAAATCAGTGATGATAACCTTCAGTTGGATCAAAAAAGGCTAAACCCCACTTTTTGTTTTAAGACTTTTAATTGTTGCCTGTTTGAATCAGTAAATTAAAGCCTAATAAACTAGAAAAGCAGTCGCCCCATATTGTGACTTTATAACTTCACATTATCTGGATCATTTCCACATTTTAATGAGGGACACTTCTGGTAAAAAGTTCATCAAATCCATGAATAGCTTTTCAAATAAGCCTGCAAACAAACAAACAACATTCCATTTTCTTATGTTTCCGTAGTTTTGTTTTCAGTATGATATTTCTGGACTTTAGTCTGATGTTAAAACTGTCATTAGTCACTGCTGCCACCGTCTGGTTTAAGTGGGAACTGCTTGTTCTGCCAGTTTATTTTTCTTCTAGCTTTTATTGTCATTTCTACGGAAGAGGATTAGGGCCATCGGGGGAAAAAAAGTGAACTGATTTTTTTTTATTTTATTTCAGTTTAGTATGGGAAAAAAGTCAGAATTCTCTGAAAAAAAGTCAGAATTGTGAGATTAAAGTCAGAATTCTCTGAAAAAAAGTCAGAATTCTGACTTTTCCCCCATACTAAATTGAAATAAAATTTAAAAATCAGTTAACTTTTTTTTTTCTCCAGTGGCCCTAATCCTCTTCCGTACATTCCACTGTCAGAAGTACAGAGCAATGAAATGAACTCTCTGCCTTTAACCCCTCCCCTTGGGGAGCAGTGGGCTGCCATTGTGCGGCGCCTGGGGAGCAGCATGGGGTTAAGGGTCTTTCTCAGGGACCCGTAGTGGCAGTCTGTGGGAGTGGGGCTTGATTCGATAATCGACTTTCACAGGAAATATTTGGACTGCTCAGAAAATGCAAATATTTTCATGACTGGTCAATTTGATGGATCGGAGTGCAGGAACATACAATTTTCCTCTGTAAATATTTGAGAGGGAAAGTATTTTTGTTGAAATGGATTTTTAATGAGTTTTTGTGGTTTTTCTTGGGCTTTTCTGTGAACGAATGAAAATGTTTGATTATCCTTTTTGCTCTCTATATACAGTTGCACCTATTCTTTTAAATTGAATTTTTCTAATAAAAAAAGAAAATAAAAAACTCAGAACCCCTGGATTCCTAGCTCTATGCTCTAATAGACAAACCAACAAACAAACACTGTAAAAACATAACCTCCTTGCTGGAAGTAATAATGTCTGTTAGATATTAAAGCCTGTTTTAAATCACTATAGAGTGAAATAAGATCAGAGAGTTGGACTTTAACCAGTGTCTCAGCTACATAAAGGTCCACCTGACGGCGAGGTGCCCAGAGCCCACGGAAGCCGAGGCGCTGCGGACAGAACTGGCCGACCTCCAGCAGAAGTTCAACCTGCTGATGGAGGAGAACAAAGAGCTGAGGAGCAGGGTGAGAAGCTCAGGCGCTGATGTTTCCGCTCGAGTCCATCATGGAAAACATCTTGAACCTTCCCTCTCTTCTCTTCTCACAGCTGCTGCAGTACAAGCCGTCGCCTGAGGAGGGAGCTGGACTCTGAATGGGCTTTTTGTCACTCGGTGGGAAATAAACAAGAAAAGATCAAGCAGCCTCCTTTTCTGTGTTTAGATTACATGTTTATTCCATAATTCTGGGTGGACAGTGAAGACTGATGATTTGTGTTAAATAAGAACCAACTGCTGCTCCTGCATCAAAAACCTCTGTATTTTCCTCCTTATCTAAACTATTGTACTTCAAAAACTCCGTCAGATCCCTTAAAGAGCAACAAGCTGCAAATAAAAAACAAAAAAAACAGACATGGTTATAATTCCTCATGGGTCAAGGTGGAGTTGTAGCATAAATCCTCGTCTTTATTTGGAGTGAATACTGCTCCATTATTGTTGCAAACAGAGAACAAGATATTTAATGGAAATTTGAAGAAAAAAAAATGCAACTCAGAAATTAAACTTTGACAAACTTCTTAAAGAGTAATTTTGCTGTTTTCTTACATTAAATTTTTTAAAATCTTTTTTCCATATTAAATTTTTTTTGACAAAATGTGTTCTTTGTACGGAAGAGGATTAGGGCCACTGAAAAAATAAAAAAAGTTAACTGATTTTTACATTTTATTTCAGTTTAATATGGGAAAAAAGTCAGAATTCTGTGATTAAAGTCAGATTTCTGAGAAAAAGTCATAATTTTGAGAAAAAAGTCAGAATTCTGAGATTAAAGTCAGAATTCCGAGGTAAAAGTCAGAATTCCGAGAAAAAAGTCAGAATTCTGAGATTAAAGTCAGAATTCTGACTTTTTTCTGATGTTAAACTGAAATTACATTTAAAAAACAGTAAACTTTCTTTTTTCCAGTGGCCCGAATCCTCTTCCGTATCTTTGACTACAACAGTGATGGAGTAAACTTCAATCATTTTGTTCAACACCCAATATCCATTTTATTTTTAATGAAACACTGAGTAACCTTTGCCACTAGGGGTGCTAAAAAATCAACTTTTAGGTTTAGTGCCCCCTGAAGGCCAATGGCAGCACTGCAGTGTCGCTACCTGAAACACTCTTCTTCCGTGTTTTGGAATCTTCTAGAAGACCAGTTTGAATTAACAGATGGAGAACTCAAGCTCCGTCACACCTTGACGATTTAGATAGTTATGACTACGCTGAAACACGCTGTCACGTCGTATGCCAGCGTATGCTCATATGTGGGGCATACGTTACAGGTAATTTATCTGAAGGTTTGCCACTGCAAACCTTCTTTCTTTTCCTTTTTTTGGCAGGTGGTAAACGGCAGCTAGGTTAAAACCTCGATCAAAGACATCTTTTTATGCAGACCGGTTGCATCGCTGCCCCCCTCAAGACCCTGGCTTGTTCATCATTTCATGGGCGTCACGCTGCCGTGCTTTATGCAGAAGTTAGGCTGTGGTTGGACAGAAGTCCTGGACTCGTTATAAATACTCTATGCATACGCCCAAAATTGAAAAAATACATAGAAAGTTCAGCGTCTGCCTGTGTTTTAGGAGATTCTGGGATGTCGGGCATACGCCGGCTAAATTGGTAAGGTGGGACAGGGCCCTACTAATAAAGACAAGGCCACATTGAGTCCTTTAAATAAAACTCTGATCAGATCTGTTTAGTTGCTAACAACTTTGGGCCTAGTTAGCTCTCATATTCAGTGGCAGCTCTGACTGCAGTCAAATGGTGCTCTGGATCACATGACGCATTCAGTGACGAATTGGACCCTTTAAAAATTACATAGGAGAGTTTTTGAGAAAAAACGGCCGGCTTGTGCTGAAAATTGACCTGAAAAATCACTTAATATAACTAGAATTAGGCTAATATTTGGGATAAAAGTTAGTTTTCTAAAGGTTTAACAAATCAGATTCATCTTTAAGAATCCATTGTGTCTCGGTCTTAGATGATCTAGTTTAGAAAAAGCTTCAGTCCCATCAGTTCATTACATCATCTCTTAAGGCCTAAAATATTGTCACATGTTTACCGGAAATTTGCACCAAACACCAGCAGTATTTAGCCATGCTTTCCTACAGCACTTACTCTACAAGAAGACAGAATGGCTTCTAGGGAAGAGATGTGGGATGTAGATCAGGCTGCTGAACTGAAAGTGACAGCTTGAATAACTGCAATGCTGCCTGAAACATTATTGATCACTGAGTTTGTTTTCCATGCCTTCACTGTCACTCAGCCTGTGTTCAGCTGAATCATTAAAGGTCAATGAGCTCTGAAAACTGACCTGACAACAGGATTGAATAAAGTCCCTGGGTTGTGATCTGAGGTCGCTTTAAAAATAGACCTTTGTCAGCCATCAAAACAGTAATATTAACGGTGATGTGCAGAAAATACACTTTGTTTTATCCTCTCCACACCTTTTCAAAGTTTCTTTGGGTTTAGGCTGCTTGTCATTCAGCCTGTCCAGTTATGGTATATATGGCCATTTCCAGTGATTAACAGGGAGGTGCCTCAATATAAAAACAAACAGCTTGAGGTGGTGATCTGAAAATGACAGGAAAAGCAGCCAAAGTCCAAACACAAACATTTTAAGACCTTAAGACCTGCAGTACAACTTAACAAGACCTCTGTAAATACTGTTTTTATTTGTAGTAGTCATCTTCTTCTGCCAGCCCCGTGACTTGGTTTACCTTCTCTATAGGTAAAAAAGAAAACAACCTGACGGAACGGAAGTTTGCAGAGAGTCAGGCGAAGAAGGCAGCCTTTGGACCTTTGAATTTACTTGACAGAGTCTGCTGTTGGGAAGTGAATACGACAAAGGATAGTGTGATCAGGGCTTAGAGACGCAGAAAACATCAACAGGAGTGGAGGTTAATCATACTGCTAAGCAAAATCAACACTGGAAGCTGTCTGGCACGGTAGGGAAGCTAGTATTATTATGAATGTCTGAAATTTCATGATTACGGAGGCGGTCATGTGCTTTTTGTTACCTTAGAACCGAACTGCACCAAGCCCTACTGATGAACTAGTACCATGTTAGCGCAGTTTGGTTGTGTCTGTTGCGTCCGGTTCAGTTCTGCGTACCATTTACAGTCAACAGTTATGTCGGTTACCGTGCTCAACCGATCTCGGCACAGTTTCAAGAGGGTAGTGTAAATGGGGCTATAGTCTCCCCAGCGTGTCCTGGATCGTCCCCTAGGCCTCCTCCTGGTGGGACAAGCCCGGAACATCTACTGAAGGAGGCGTCCAAGGAGGATCCAAAAAAACAAATGTCCGTGCCACCTCAGCTGACTTCTCTCGATGAGGATGAGTCTACTCTGCGCCTCTCTTGAATGACTGCGCTTCTTATTTGGTCTCTAAGGGGGGCCTAGCCATTCTGCAGAGAAAACTAATTAGAGCTGCTTTGATCTGGGATCTCGCTCTTTTGGTCAAGATCCAGATGAGCTTTGACTCTTTGCTCAGTTCTTACTGTATCATGTATTAATTTTCTGCTCCATTTTCCCCTCAATTGTCAACAGTACTTTTGCATTTTCGGAAGAAAAATCAAAAGAGATGTCTGAATCAGGATTTTTGTTCTGTTCTACCTACAAAGAGTCTGTTTTAAATTTGCAAGTCTGTTGGGGCACGTCTGCTACTCCCACTGCTTGCTGCTGAAACTCTCCTGTTCGGAGAGGAAGTGACAGGACTATTACTCTCCCTGCTTTGTCGAGACATTGAGCTCAGCTCCCCGACAGAGTCTGGGCTCTGGGACCTGCTCGGCCTTTTCGTGTCTGACTTGGAGACGATTCTGGCTCTGGGGCCGGCAACGCTGCTGCGTAGCTTCATGCTGCCGTTTCCGCGGTAGGAGTCTCCACTGTCTGAGCAGTTTCCCTCCACCACCGTTGAACAGTTCCATGGTGGACTGAGCCTTCGTATCTTCCTCGTCATGCCAGACAATGTGGTAGAGGATGAAGTGTCTGCCACAGGAAGAGTAGGGTACTCACAGCTCCCACACTCTAGTTCATCATGGTGGGTTGAGGACAGCTCCTCTGGTTCATCTTCTTTGTCCACAGGAGGTGAGCGTGTCTCACTGCTTGTGTTGTTAGAGTTGCTGTTCTGCTCTGTGGGACTTGGTACTCCCTCTTTGGTGTCCTTGTGGCTGTCCGGCTTTGCGCCGAGATCCCCTTGTATAGGCACAAAGGCAGAGGAGGCGCTGAGTAGGGGGTAGTTGGGTCCATTGCCCTGTTTTTCCAGCAGTAATGTGTATCCACTGGGAGCAGTGGGAATCGTGCTCTTGCGTCCGACCGAAGTTCCAACGCAAACTTGATGGACAACAGAGTTCTTTTTGGACTTGTTCAGATAATAGTCATCCAGATCATCCTTGAGGTGGGGATAGTAGTTGAGAATACCTTTCTTGACCTTCTTGAACCCTAGATGCATTATCTCCAGCAGGCTGAGAAAGAGGGAGATGCAAGCAATAGCTTGCATGAACATCATGAAGATGGTTTTTTCCGTGGATCTGGAGACAAAACAGTCCACCATGTTGGGACACGGGTCCCTCTCACACTTATACAGCGTGCTCAGGCGGTGTCCATAGAGGATGTACTGACCAGTCATGAAGCTCACCTCCACCACAGAGCGAGTAACAATGTGGGCTACATAGGTGCACAGCAGGGAGCCTCTCAGTGGGGCTTTGTTCAGCTTCCCCTGCTCCAGCTGCCTCATTTCCTTCTCAATCCTCCTCTTCACCTCCACCATCTCTGCATCAACGGCTTCCAGCTCCCGGCGCAGAGCCACCTTCTTGCAGTGGCGTTCCTTCTCCAGTGCACGCAGCTGATAGATGGCGTGGCCCATGTAGACTAGGGAGGGGGAGGACACAAAGATCACCTGGAGCACCCAGTAGCGGATCAGGGAGATGGGGAAAGCCTGGTCGTAGCAGACGTTTCGACAGCCAGGCTGCTCCGTGTTGCAGATGAAGTCGGACTGCTCATCGTTCCACACATCCTCGGCGGCCACACCTAGCACCAGCATCCGGAAGATAAACAGGATGGTCAACCAGATCTTGCCGACCATGGTGGAGTGGATATGCACCTCCTCCAAGATCCCACCCAGGAAGTTCCAGTCTCCCATTTTTTACATTAGCGGGGCTAGAATCAGCGGAGAAACAAACACATTCAGAACAGTTAATACACAAAGATCTTGGGCTCATTGTGAGGATGTCAGAGATTTAGACTTTGGATTTACAGTAGATACTCATCCAGAGACATTTCTACATCAGTATGTGTTTGAAGCTGTCAGTGCCACTCCAGCAGAGAGTCTATTGGGGGGATAAACTGATTTATGCCATTTGCGGACAAACTTAGAAACATATATTTGAATCATCGGGGTTGGAATCGCAAGGTGTTCCTTGGGCAGATAGGATACCTCAAGGAGTCGCAGTCTTATCCCAAAAAATGGACACCTTTCAAAGCGTATTATTAGCTAGCAAAAGAAGACATCCAGCATACATTTCATAACCACCTCAAGCAACTTCCCTCTATGCTAAAGAGCAGCTTAACCCCAAAATCCACTTATTTGATGAAGCTTAATTTACAGCAGTAGCCATTCAAAATTTACTAACTTTCCATGGCCCTTGGCTGGTCGCCTACAATTCCTTCTCTCTATCATGATTTGTGGACATAAAGATCTAAAGAGAAGCGTCATCTCGTGGTCAGACCCTGTAATTCAGTGAAAGGGTGGAGTCACCGTAAAAAAAAAAGCACGACCAGGAGGTCAGTGGCTGGAAGTTGGAGGGGATTTTCTGGGAGTCGCAGGGGAGTAGGCTGCCATTCGGCTGGCATTTGACTGGCAAGGGCCATTTTGAATGGCTACTACTATAAGACTACAGCAGATACGGCCATATACATTCCACATGTTCTACTCAGCAGTATGTGCTACACATGCTACGGTCATTTGTAGGAACTGCTGCCAGAGTAATATAATGTAAATGCAATGGCTGAAAGCTGAATGAAACCAGGGTTAAACCTTGAATTCGAGTTTTTAGGATGCCAGGAATCAACTCTGCCATCAGCCTCACGCTACGTTCACACCGGATGAAGCAAGAGCAGCAAAATCGCGTCTGCTGCTTCATTTTTGCTGCTTGTACCAGTTAGTTCTGACGCGCGGCTGAAGCAGCTTTGCTGCTCTGGCTGCGCGGTCCAAAAGTGTGTCTGACGCGCGTTGGGCGGAGCTACCCTATCCTTTCTTTGCCTTGCAGCTATATTTGCTGTGATCAGTGGGAATAAAGTAGTTTTAATATGTTTTTAAGTGATAAAGTCCACCTGAAAACTTAATCATTGCAGTCAGTTCATCCAGATTACCATCCTGCCTTCTAATATTATTTCTGTCGGAGCCGCTCAGACCCCCACATACCAGCGGTGCGCCGACAGTAGGAATCCCTTCATCAGCAGCCTCTGGCCGGGTCGCCTCCTCGCGGTTCACCGCAGCAGCTGGTAGGTGTTTTTCATCTAAATAATCCAGGCAGCAGGATAATAAAAGCGAACATATTCTGCCGGCAGGTTTCAGCATTTTAAGTTAATTTAGGCGTCAATAAACTGTTTCCGAGGAGTGATCATAGTGATCTGTGTCATCAACGATGCGTCTGTCTCACGGCCAGCTCCCAGATCAGCTTCTCTGATTGGTTGATGCGGCGCGTTGAGCAGCAAAAGTTCATTTTTCCATCTCGAGCAGCAGCGCGTTTGCGGCGCGTCACGTGCGTCAGATTCTTAAACGCTCCCGACGCGCTGCTTCAGCTGCTCAGACGCGCTGCGCCTGCTGCTCAAAATGCGCTGCGGGACCTTTTGCTGCGCCTTGACACACGTCAACCATTGACTTGGTGTAACCTGCATAAAATAAGAACCCGTATTTTATTTTGGCGGGTCAAATTGATAGCACCCTTTAAGTTCCGGGTCACAGGTGACTCAGATCTGAATAGCTGTTGCTGCTGTCGCTGTGGCTAGCTGCTCGTCTCGGCGTCTTCTAAACTAATAGAAGAATACGGCTGGATCAAGGCTTACTAAGACGGCCGAAGGATTTAACTGAGTGTTTTCTGTCGACCGCTCGACGGTGAGTCGTTTAATTTACGTATTTTGTTTTTCTTTAGAAATAGAAATGCGGTGGCGACACGCCCACTAAATTTGTGCATTTAAAGATTGAAAAGTATATTTATTGATTTAAGGGTCATTTTCTTTTGTTAATTTTGTGGCCGAATGGATTATACACTATATTGCCAAAAGTATTTGCTCACCCATCCAAATTATTGGAATCAGGTGTTCCAATCACTTCCATGGCCACAGGTGTATAAATTCAAGCACCTAGGCATGCAGACTGTTTTTACAAACATTTGTGAAAGAATGGGTCGCTCTCAGGAGCTCAGTGAATTCCAGCGTGGAACTGTGATAGGATGCCACCTGTGCAACAAATCCAGTCGTGAAATTTCCTCGCTCCTAAATATTCCACAGTCAACTGTCAGCTGTATTATAAGAAAATGGAAGTGTTTGGGAACGACAGCAACTCAGCCACGAAGAGGTAGGCCACGTAAACTGACGGAGCGGGGTCAGCGGATGCTGACGCGCATAGTGCGAAGAGGTCGCCAACTTTCTGCAGAGTCAATCACTACAGACCTCCAAACTTCATGTGGCCTTCAGATTAGCTCAAGAACAGTGCGCAGAGAGCTTCATGGAATGGGTTTCCATGGTCGAGCAGCTGCATCCAAGCCATACATCACCAAGTGCAATGCAAAGCGTCGGATGCGGTGGTGTAAAGCACGCCGCCACTGGACTCTAGAGCAGTGGAGACGCGTTCTCTGGAGTGACGAATCGCGCTTCTCCATCTGGCAATCTGATGGACGGGTCTGGGTTTGGCGGTTGCCAGGAGAACGGTACTTGTCTGACTGCATTGTGCCAAGTGTAAAGTTTGGTGGAGGGGGGATTATGGTGTGGGGTTGTTTTTCAGGAGCTGGGCTTGGCCCCTTAGTTCCAGTGAAAGGAACTCTGAATGCTTCAGCATACCAAGACATTTTGGACAATTCCATGCTCCCAACTTTGTGGGAACAGTTTGGAGCTGGCCCCTTCCTCTTCCAACATGACTGTGCACCAGTGCACAAAGCAAGGTCCATAAAGACATGGATGACAGAGTCTGGTGTGGATGAACTTGACTGGCCTGCACAGAGTCCTGACCTCAACCCGATAGAACACCTTTGGGATGAATTAGAGCGGAGACTGAGAGCCAGGCCTTCTCGTCCAACATCAGTGTGCGACCTCACAAATGCGCTTCTGGAAGAATGGTCAAAAATTCCCATAAACACACTCCTAAACCTTGTGGACAGCCTTCCCAGAAGAGTTGAAGCTGTTCTAGCTGCAAAGGGTGGACCGACGTCATATTGAACCCTATGGATTAGGAACGGGATGTCACTTAAGCTCATATGTGAGTCAAGGCAGGTGAGCAAATACTTTTGGCAATATAGTGTATGTTGTTAAAATATTAAATAGGCCTTTTGATTTTTGTAGATTCATCCTTTTAGGAAGGTTTCAGTTACTTTTTATTAAATTTTGCTAACAGCCTACAGAACTCTGGGCTTAGACATATTTTTTTTTTTTGTGAGGAATAAGAGGAAAAAAACAATTCTTTTTTTGAAATGATATGGAAGTCAATTAAGTTTAATTGACTGCGTCAATTAAACTTAGATGGAATTTAAAAAGTGCACTTTACTTTGATCTGTACCGGTAACTTTACTTTGATCTGTACCGGTAACTTTACTTTGATTTGTACCGGTAACTTTAATCTGATCGCGATCTTTAATTTAAATTCATGAGAACCACTTATTGAAATGAAGTTATTTATTTATGTTGTAATTGTTGAATGTTTATTTATTTTGAATAACATTTTAACAATGTTTAAATATGATAGCTAATTTGTATTTTTATTTATGACCTTGTTTAGGTCAGGTTTTTTTTCACCCCCTGTGTCACGTCAAGATGGCGAGCTACCGGATCACCGCAGCTTCGCGGTAGGATTTACATGAACCAAGTTACTTTCTCATTCTGAACTTATTTGCTTTGGGTTATGGACAAGAAAAACCCTAAAACAATCAGACATTGATTGATGAACCGTTGAATCACTCTAGATTCATGAATGGACTAAAAAGGAAACTCTTGGGTGACATAAGGATTTATTGTTTTGTTGATGAGTTTGTTTGTTTTTGTTTCTTGTCGTATTTTTGGTTATATCATAAAAGAAGTCACTGTTGTTATAAATATTATTAATATTGCATACCTTTATATATATATATTTGAAAAAGACTCAAACTTGAATATAATAATTGAAACATACTTCGGTCTAATGGTATTTTGTTCACACCCACGGGCTCCATAGGCGAACCTATCTGAGTGCCTATTATAACTGGCTGCAGTCAGGCGCCTAGCCTTAAATAAGCGTTACACGTGGCGAGCTAGCCAGGAGCTTGTGTGTGTGAACATTTTTTTTTTTTGGGCTATTTCTCATTTTGAACATTTATTTCAGTTGTAGGAATAGGAAATTCTAAGTAAAATATTCAACTTTTTCAAAAGGTAAAATAAAGAATACTTAATTAAAAAAAAAACATGATGGATATTGTTGAGCAATCTGGTATAAATGTATCACAGTCTGTGATGATTACTGGTGCTACCGATACCAAGGTTGATGAGGAAATACTTAATTGCTTAAGTAGATACGGTAAACTTAACCGCACTTTATATGTAACTGATTCCTCAAGCACGTTTTTTAAAAACCTGATCGTTGAGTTTGCAGATTTAGCTGCTTTTTCCGCACTACAACCGCTTATACCTTATACTTACACCTCTCAAACAAATACTGACCGAGTGTTTTGTGTCACCGCTTTGGCATTCGAGTATGCAGCCACAGAGGGCAGCAGCAGCAAACATCAGCCCAACTACATCGCTGAGCTCAGGAAAATTGCTGATCAAAGCGGCCATCGTTTTGAAGATGTTCTGAAGACAGTAATGAGCCAGATAGGCCAACATCTGCATGCAGCAGGAGCAGATGAAAATTTTGATGATGATGATGATGATGACTATGACGATGATGAGGAAGAGGACGGAGTAAAGGTGAAAGAGGAAAGGGAAGTGGATAAATTTACTACTGCACAGCCAGTGCAAACGGACTTAGGATCATTATCCTCACTTCCTCCTGCTCATTCATCCTCGGGCCAGGGAGCACGACCTCGTCGAAAGCAAACTGGACCAGCTCCAGGACTGTCGCTTTCTACCAATGATCTTAACCCACCTCAGATACAACGGGTTGTTGTTGAACATGTGGTTCGAAATACTGATTTGACTGGTCCAACCTCACTTCGTCTCCGTACTTTTTCAGGAAGGTTTCCTAAGCCGAGTCATGAAGCTGACTTTGAGTCCTGGCGTTCCCAGATTGAGTCTCTGCTTGCTGATTCCAGTCTCTCTGCACTACATGTCACTAGACGAATCACAGAGAGTTTGTCATCACCTGCAGCTGA